TATTAATTTGTAGTAGTTAGATGATATTGTTGTTAAGTAAAGTTTATATTTACTAACCATTAATGAAAAAGCTTAGTACAATTCAGCAATCCCCCCACTCCAGTATTTCAGAAATTATTTAGAATTATTTTGTGTATGCATAAACGTGTGAATTTTTGTAAATACATATGTTCATATCTAAAAATATGAGCAGAAACTATAGTAAACTTAAGGCCAATGTACCTAAAATATTTTCCTTAATTTTTAGGATTACTGGGTAGTTAAAAAATTCTATAAAAAAGCTACTTACATTATATTTGTAAAGTAATTTTTATAAATATGTCCTTCCCACCGCTGGAAAAATTCCCAAATATAAGTCTATCAAAATAAAAAAACACTCACCTCTATGTTAAAAAATGCTTTTTTGTGATATTTTAAACCAAAAGTAAGTTATATTTCTTTCAAATCAGATTAATTGAACTTTAAGTTAGCTAATCTTTCTCAACTAAAGTTTCAGAAATTTATATTTTATTTTTGAAATATTTTTCAATAAAGAGAATTACATTGCAATGACAGATTTGTAAATATGGCTAAAATAAGTTGCTTTTAGCAATTACAAAAAAATATCCTTCCAATTAATTTCAATTCACTTTTTACTTTTTCAATTTTACTTTTTGGAAATATTAAATTTAATTTATTAGCTTGAAATTAAAAGTAAAATAAAAGCTTCAAGTAAGATTTTTCATATTTAAAAATGAATTTTAACTATTAGGTATAATTTTTCTTTGGAGGTACCTCCCCCTCCACTCTCATATATATATATATATATATATATATATATATATGGTGTATAAAAAAATACTTTTAAAAACTTTGGGGACAAGTTCCTCACACCAAAACAAGGGCAAAAGTCCATATAAATATATGTCCACAAATCCTTCATTTTTGCTAATTAAGTTTAAAGAAAGTTTACGGTAGATGTCGCTGTGTTGCCATATAGACTAGGTTACATTTTTCAATCCTGTATATTTGTGGCTAGTCTGTCTTTAATGTGTGAAGTAGTGAGTTAACTGAGAAGTGTTCCATTTAACAATGGCATGATATTTATATCATGAGCAGGCAGATATGATTTTTACATACAGCCATGTGAGTGGTAATGGACGTGACGCTGCATGGCTGTATCAGATTTTGTTTCCAGACCAAAAATCTCTTCTGCGGTTTATCATTGTGTTGCAGAGACAGGAACTGTGGCACCACAAACTATGGACCGACAAAGTCCGAGAACCACTTGTATGCTTGACCATGAAGAACACATTCTACATGGCCTTTTGGACATGTTTATACGAATGTTTTACCTTGTTTTGGTGACAGGAACCAACCCCCAAAGTTTGTAAAGGTATTTTTCATACACCCTGTACACTGAGTGCTGGTGATAATAAAATAAGGCTCAATTTAAAACAGATCTAAAATATATATATTGTTTATGTGTTATTTTTATAGATGCAAATATTTAATGCTCTGTTTATAATAAACAGTATTAACAATATTTACTGGCTTGAATGTTGAGAAATTTCATAAAAAATGTGTCCTCCAACACAAATCGAACCTGTATCCTATGGAACTGTGATATTCTATGAAATTTCTCAGACATTCAAGCCAGTAAATGTTTTTAATACTGTTCATTATAAACAGGTCATTTACTTAAATATTTGTATCTATAAAAATAACATATAAACAATAAATATATTAAAATAATTGTCAGACTTAGTCTATTTTATAACATACATATATATAAAAAAATAATCATAATAATAATCTGGCATACAGACGACTGACCATGACTACCAGTTTCTTGCATGTTGGCGCTTGCAGTCAGCACTGGTCTGTTTGGTGATACGAACCTTTATATCTCAATCAACTAACTCAAGTTATATATGACTAATACATATAATAAAAATACTGAGGAGGAAAATACCCATACCCCTTTGAGATTTACTTATGTGTGTTTCAATTACCTTTTGAAATGTTTGAAGAAATAATGTGCCAAGTGTGTCAAAATATCGAGTGAATATGTGTCAAAGTCATTTATGTTTCATAGCATTGGATTCAAAACGTTTTCAGCTATAAAAACACTATTTCTCCACCTATTTACCACCATTAGCTATGCATTTTTGTCAGCAATACACAAGTGCTTGTATGTAATGCTCAAAACATGGCTTGCAACATACATCACTCTCACTGAATTACATACCCCAACCATGCTTACACCCATGCCTCCATAAACATCACTGAACATTGGTGAATATCGGTGCAAATTTTTTTCTACAGGGAGGAATTTAGTGGTGCACCTTTGATTTGGATCCACTTTCATTACCAAACTGCAAATTATGTGTTAATGGTGGGAATATTCAACCTCTACTGTTGTAACATTAAACATCTGACTGACTCTGATGTTGTTGGTCAACATAATAAAATAGGATGAATTACTTTTTGAAGAATCCATCATGCCACATATTGTAGCAAATCACCCACATTTCCTTCTGTATTCCATCGATTAGAAGCAAGTTCTTCCCATAAACTGTGAAAAACTCACAAGAGGATGTTTCCCCAATCACTACAACCTTAATCTGGTTAAGTCTACAGTTAACCGTTATCTTCCCCTCCTATCCATAGAAACTACCCCTTAATGTAACTATCTACCTCAAGTGACTCCCAGGCCTTGTACATAGCAAACTTTATGGTTTAAAAAAAAAAAAGAAAAGACTCTTTGTGTGTGTGTGTGGTATTAGAAAAATTGACAAAATTGAAAAAACCAAAAATTCAATTAAAACATCATAAACAAATAACTTTTTATGAGTATTTAACCAAATAAACATGAATAGGACCAAAATGGGGTGGGGAGGGTAAATAAGGAGAGGAAATTAGTCAAAACCAAACACAACAACTGAGAAATTAAGACATTAAAGAAAAATATTGATTACATTTATATAAAACTTCAAAGTTTTACAAAACCATTTTGAAGGTTTTTGCTTTACTTATATATCAGATAACAATTTGTAATATTTGTGAAAAAAAAAGCTTAAAATGTATAAATTCTTATAAATATATGTGCCATATATATATATATATATAAAAACATTTATATGTGACTGTTATAGGACAATTACTTTGTTAATCTAATTTGTAAAGACAATTTTTAATGTTAGCAGAACAATAGCAAAAAGATAAAAAAAATTTGAAAAATATTGTTATAAAACTTAGTATTTAAAAAGAAAAAAGATCCAATCCTATTTGCATGTGTATGTGGAAAATGGAAAATTCATTTTCTTGTGATTGTAAAAATGTTTTAAATTATCTATTCATCTATAAATAGAATGTATAGTTTCAGATTAAAATTAAAAATGTTATTATTAATGTGTTGGCTGGTATTTTCTTTTATTATTTCTGTTGCTTTTAATTCCAACTTGAAGACTGTCATTCTATGGTCATTAGTAAGAAACAAGATTTTCCTTATGAAACATGCCTGTCTAGTACAACCATCTTACCAATTAAGCTATGAAGACTATCTTAACCCCATATTAGTAACATGGGATATTTGGACACACCACAAAATGTTTTTTTTTCTTGATATTTAACAACTAAAATTTTCATTATTACTCAAGTAACTATCAAAATACATCAGGGTTAAACCTAACACTACAGGGAATTTCTAGTTTTAGTCATCTTATCTGTATGAATTACAAGCAGTTTTATTTGTTTACTGATAATAAAATAGAAGTTATTTTTGCATATTTGACCTTTTGAAAATTAAAACTCATTTTTTAATATCAGATTTTAAATTTGTTTTTCAAAATTAAACTTTTGTTTTGCCTTTTTTTATTAAAAAAAGGTAACATAAAACGCTCAAGACAATATATACAAAAAACTTAAAATATAGGTATATCATTTAATTCTTAAGTGGGGTATTTGAAAACCCTTGGTACTAATGTTGTGACACTGCCCCACAGAATTAAGGCCTAATAAGCAAGACAGTTGTCCCTCACTGGCAAATTTCTCGAGAAAAAAAGGGTTTGGGTTTAAATATCACAAGAAGTATTTAGTAGTGACCATAGAAAGATTGTCTAAAAGCTGTGATTCAAAAGTAAGTGAAATTAAGAAATAATAGTAAAAAATTAATAATCTTTGACAATGTTTCATCTAATAAAAATTTCAAGATAATATTACTATTAAAATATTAGTCAAGGTAATCATTTGTAAAAATTTAATTTTCAAAAATTCCCATTATTTTTAGTGAATTAGTTAAAAATTAATTTTCTCATCAAACAAACACGATTAAACAAAGGAGGTTATAAGCTGAAATTGAATATAGAAAAATGTCACTGGTTTTCAGCTGTCTTTTCTTGTTATAAGACAATTTGGTTAAAAATTGGAATTGATTGGCTGCATGAAAAAAAAAAAAAAGAAAAAAGATTCCAAGAGTCTGTGATTAAAGTTACTATTTAAAATCCACTGGAATTTTACCAGTCAAAATTCTATCTGCAATTAAAAGCCTTGACATGGAAGAAGAAAAATAGGCTAAGATAATAATTACTTTTTTTTTTTTTATAATAGCTCTACCCAAACCACAGGCAGTACATCTGCAATGCCAAAGCATTTATCACAAAAATCCTTAAATCTAAAAAGAAAAATTTTGCTTGCTGATTTAATGTGTTTAGTTGTTTACCAATCTGATAAAAAGTATACAATGTAGCCAAGGGAAAAAGAGTAACATTTGTTGTAGAATATTTGTTTGGAATCAAAAGTAAATATATTTTTAAAAAAATACTACTGACTGAATGCTGAAAAATGTTCCAGTCACCCAGAAGCCAAGAGCAGAACTAACAGTAGCCCTATCTTCACTTGTAATTCACCTTTGTTTGGATCTGATCCAATTCTGTCTTGAAGTGAATTGGCCAGAAACAGCTACTGAGTGACAAATGATTGGTTCAGCAGTTTCAGGATACAAAGTAGAAAGTTAAAAATCATAGATGAGTCATGGAAGAAGAGGAAGAGGAAAAATAAAATATCCCATCATCATCACTATGATCATTGTCACACGGAGACCAAGAATCAACAGGAGTGCTGATCTCAATATTAACGGTATCCTGTTCATGTAAATTAATGTTGTCCACAGGTGACTCATCATCAGGTGTGAGTGTGGATAATGACAAATCTTCCACACTGCCATTATTGGCAAACCGTACTCTCTTGGATTCTGACTCCAAGGTTACTTCTGTGAAATTACTTTGACTGGTTGAGGTGGGAGAATGTTCACTGAATGGAGTTATTGTACTACTGGATAAAACCAGGGAGTTCCCGGAATAGTTTGATGCCTCTGAACCAGTTACAATATAATCCGGATGTGGCTCACTTGGAGGATCACTTAACGATCCCAAGTGTTCATAATGATGTTTTGACACATTACTATAAAGGTGTGAAGAATTCAGACTGAATTCATCTGAATTTGACAATGGATATTCTGTAGGCTTGTCATACAAACTACTGTTTGATGACATATTGTTTGGAATGTCATAAATGTTTTGAGTTGTGTTATCAGCTTTATCATAATAGCTCTTTTTTGAAGACGTCCTTTTAGCTGGAATTACATCTGGTTTGTCATAGATATTTTTATTCTGGAAATCATCTGCAATGGAATCTGATGAGTCTCCCATGTTTTCATATACATGTTTCATTTTGGGGGGGAGCTTTTCATAATCATACACATTCACAAGCTCAACAGATGCTGTACTTGTGCTTTCTTTTGCAGAGTGTTTGTTGATTTTTGTGTGTGTACCATGAGAAACAATGCCTCCATTGCATAGAACTTTGTCGCCTGTAGAAGGTGCAGAAATGGAAATGGTTGAAGTCTGGAAACCTGTGTCAGTCTCCTCTTCTGTTGGATCAGTTTTGTTTCCCTGGCCTGGGCCAGAATCTACATCTGATTCATTCATCCTGTCAAATTGAAAACCCCGGTTATTTATACCATTTAACTGCTCAGTCCTGCTCGTATGGTAATAATCTCTCCTACCAAGTTTCAGTTCTTGGGAAATATACAGTGACTGATCTCGATTCAAGTTATGAAGCAGTCGTCGTGTTCTTTGTTCCCTGAAGTGAAAAATAAAATAAAATTACAACCTGGGTAGTTACAGCAATCAGAACAGAAAAAATGTTTCAGACTTCTTGCCATATTACGAAGCAATCAGAGTTAAATAGTAATTTAGATCTAATTATCATTTCAGTCATATTGGCTTAACTTAATATGAAACAAAGCCATGTTATTGGAGTATTGTTCCACATCAACCTAAATTTTCAATGTAGATATTTTAGAAGAAAACAAAGAAAAATGTCTGCAGACAAGATTGAACTTTTATACCATGCCTTGGGATTCATCTTTTATGGATATCATCTTTGGCTATTAGCTTACCATCTCTTTCAGAATCAGGTAAATTTCTCATCTATAGTCATTTAACACCTGTCTTATTATACACTGTATTATTGATAAATTAATTGCAGTCACAGTAAAAATCTCATTTTAGGATTCTTAGATGAAGCTTTACCAGTAAGCTTCTTCTTTAGGATAATTTTGACATCCTATTAATTAGGGACGTTAAAGTGATACCTTTCATGATTTTAAAATGAATATATATTAGAATGTTGGGTACACTGTTGATGCTGGATACAATAGGTATGTTGGTTTTTTGTGTTTTTGGCTGAAGCCATATAGTGTGGATATAGTAAGGTGGTATTCTATTAGTCTAGTCCAGGTTTTGTTTTCATTTCTTAAACATTTCTTGATTGTTTTGTTGAAGACTTGTGTGTCTGTATTTACTGCTTGTTCATTGGATTGACTGTAATTGTTATCATCATTTAAAAGGGATTGTAATTTTTCATTGTAGTCATTGGTATTCATGATGATTACTGCCTCCTTTGTCAGATAGGGTTATGATTATGTTTTTATTTATAGATAATACTAGTAAGGTATAGCCTGACTCAAGCCATCCTTGTTCTTTTGCTTGTAGAAGACCACTGCTGGTTATACACTCATAAGTGAATAATATCTTCTTTTTAACTTTCTTAATAAAATAAATTCTCATTTTTCTCAGTTTCCTTAATTATCCTTAAATTACAATGGTGTACCATGCAACATTCTCCTTGTAAGACTGCATTAAGAGAAAGGATGTTCAAATAGACACTTTAGTGAGAAAAATGTTAAAGTGATCCTTTCTTGATTCTGATTTCTTGTAATATCAGCTTAAAAAAAAAAACCCATAAAAAATGACCCAAACTACAGAAAAATCTGTGAAATAATGCTAATCATTTCATACATACATTTGATGCTTAACACAGACGACATAAATACAGATGATACAGCAGATGAGCAGGAAAGTAGCTAAAACCAGTAAAGAAATTTCTGTCGTTCCCGGTTTCCAGTAGTCAGGAATTGTTTTAAGTTTATTTTTGTCAAAAACTGCTTGTAACAGGATTTCCTTTGACAGAACCAAACTGAAAAAAGAAAGTAAATATATTTTCAAATTAATTCTCATCATTTTGACTCACCTTGTTACACAAAAGGTAAACTTAATCAGGCCATCAGCAGTAACACATAGGTACTTCCATCAACAGTCATGCTTTTGGCTCCTGACAAAACTAGCAGCAACAACAGAGATTATTAACTCTTGACTACTACAATGTGATAATTTGCGTTATTTCTCCCACAAGTATATCTCACTCAACTATACATGGATCTTGATTTTCTCTGCATCTCTCTCAACTACTAGCTTGTGTTACACTCTGTAGAAACTTTTACTCTCCCACAACTGATTTATGATGTTCCAGAACCAGGTAATTATTGAACTTTGTAAATCACAAGAAATGTTTTTACTTAGTTGAACATTAAGTACTTCATGTTTTCAAAGCTACACAGTTAGTAGTCAGGCAATTTGAAATAAGGAAACTTTATCCCAACTTTTTCTCTTTATTTGATATTTCAATAAACAAAGGTTCCCAAAACTAAACCGCAAACTGTTTCATGTTTTCCAACTATTACTACTGCAAAAGAAAAGATCTGACTTTTGAGACAACCCTTTTCTTTTTTTACATCAGTATATGAACTTATTCCAGAAGTGTGTGTGTGTATATATATATATATATATATATATATATATATATATATATATATACACACACATATATATATATATACACATATATATACACATACATACATACATTAGCAGGCTTTGCTTGCTCACTATCACTTTGCAAAAGTAAGATATATTCACTACTTGAAATCTTTGAAACAAAAATTTTAAATGAATATTTCATTCATAAATTGGCTTGTTATAGTTAAGGAAAGTTTTACAAATAGATGCCAAATAAAATGCAAATTTCAAACACTTTTTTGCACTATATAAGATAATATTCCTAAACCGAACTATTTTTGATATGCAAATCAAAACAATCCTCGTTATAAAAGAACAGTCATGAAGGACAGTTAATTAATGAAATAAACTTTTTTTAAAATTAATATGCAAATTAGTTAAACCTGAAGAGTGATATTGCCTAGAAGTAGATAATATATAATACAGCTTTTAGTGTGAAAATGACTCTCTTGAGTGATTTGTAACACATCTATTTATCCTCTCTCAGTTGTTGCTCTGTCCTTGGACAAAGGGCACTCTGGGGGTAACTCCATCAAAGGACAGAGTTGCAACTGAGGAAAATTATACTGAGAGATGCCCTAGGGAAAGGGATTGGTGCTTGCACTGAGTCCAGCACAACTACCCACATTAAACCAAATGTGTGTCAAAACTTGGAATTTTTAATCTCAGAATTCCTGGGAGATTTGAGCTCCAATTTTGCATTTATTCACAGATTCCATAATATAGGTTTTACTTAATTAGCTATTATGTTTCTGTAACGCTTCAAATGTTGAAGGTGTAACTAATTTTTATTTTTACACTATATTAATTTTATCTTATAAATTGTCCTGTTCTGTCACACATGAAATAAAAATAATTATTTGAATGGAAAATAATGACCTACGTACATCAAATTGTCTTTAAATTAAGTGGCAACAGAAGAATTATCATTAAACTTTTAAAAGGTAAACTTAAACATTAATTCAGTACTTAAATGTAGCGATCAGTTTTGAGTTTTTCTGTAGCTTATTGATGCCTATCACATCTACTCCTCACTACCTATCATGATGATGGCCAAACCAAGAGACCACCACCGCTTAAAATTTTAAGCCAGGTGCAATTTTTCATGCAAAAGGAGAACAAGAGTTACTCCCTGTGAGCCATGAAAGCAACAATAATAGCTAGTATAATGTGTTAATTTATATTTCCAAAATTCCATAATCTGGTAACCTTAAATCTGAAAACAAAAATGATGGATGGATGGATACATACATACATACATACATACATACATACACACACTGTACTTTATATATAAGATATATAAAAAGAAGGATGGATAAACTTAGAAGAAATTTAAAACACAAAAATAAAAGATTTTACCTTCTCAGTTGTTCCCTGGAAATTTTTGTTCCATTTGTATCTGTTCCCGAAAGATAGATGGTTGAACTAAAATAAAAATGTTAATTACTTACTGGAATATCTTTTAAAATAAACAAAAACAAATTTTAATTCAAAAAATTATAATTTTGGTCAAATTTGAAATATAATTTGAGATTTGTCTATATCTCTGAGATGGGGTATGATTACTTACATTATTTATATTATTCAGACTGTTATCCTCATCTTCATTGCTATATTCACAACATTTCAGCCATTGTACACTCTAGCCTTCTCTAGAACAACCCTGGTGGACAAAATAAAGGGTTCAATTCAAAATTCCAATCACCTGAAGAAGGCTGGAGCATACTACACCAGAAACATTGTGAATATGGCAATGAAGATGAGGATAACAGTCGAAATAATGTAAATTTGAGATTTTGTGTCTTACCTAAAACAACATTCTCTTGTGATATTTGACTTAGTCAAACTCATGCTCTTATGAAGTAAAGGGACAAAAACAATGTATTACATGACTCTTCATTGTGGGAGGACTTGTCTGTCTTGAAAATCAACATTTAAAATCTTGGCTTTTACCTGAATTTGAATACTTACCTCTGGCATTGGTGGAAAATATAAAACCTTCTTAGCTCAAAAATCATATTAGCAAAAAACATTGTCAGAACTTCAAACAAAAGAATAAATCTGAAGAATACATCAACCAAAGAATAAATCTGAAGAATATATCAACCAAGGTATATGTGTTAAAAACAAGAGTCTGACATTTATCTGAAATATATGGCAATTCATTTGAATACAATATTCTTAAAGATCTTAAGCTGAAAGTATCACAAGATATAAAAATATCAACAAGCATGCCTGCATAAACTCACCCTCCTAACTGTAGATGTTGACCTGAGTTGTAATGTTCACCATGTTCCACTCTTTCAATAACAATTTGAATGCCTAAAATAGCAGTCATATTTCTGGAGAAGAAAAAAAAAAAAAAGAAATATTAATGTAGAGTTTCTGACAGATTTGTCAAGAGTCTCAAAAGAATCAGCAGTGAAATCCAAATTCTTTTCACTATATATTTAATAAGCTTACCATAGGTCTATCACAAAGACCCAAGTTTAAGACACCTAGTGTGGAGCAAACTCAGTTTAATAGTAATAGTCTTCTTACCAAGCTTGCTAATTGTTCTGTTATTAATAAAACTTACTTTAAGTCTAGCACAAGGAATTGTCTGCAAGATTAGTTTGCTAATGCTTCCACTGGGCTTAGGATGGAAAGATAAATTATATGGGACTGGTTGCTAAAAGTCAATTTAACACAAAGACAACACGAGACGTGATAAGCTCAACAACTCTATTCAAACTGCTGTTGGATATGTTTTACTCCAGCATTCCCTAGTAGAACTAGAAGTTCTTACAATCATCATCATAATCAACATTATTGATGTTATAAACACTAATCATTAGACTATGTCAAGGCATATTTTCTCAAAAATTAATGCCCACTTACAAAGTATAACAGTGGAAATAAATCTGAGTTTCATGTCCAGTTTCTAATTAATTAAACCTGTTATTTACCAACAATTACAATTGTTAGCTCCTTTTTTTAATAATCATCTATAAAAAGTGTTTCATAATAAAACTGATTTTTTTGTGGAGGCAGCTAAATTTTTTGCTCTGAGAGAGAAATAAAGCATGTATACTACTGTTGTCATACCTCCAATAACTCAAACAGAAGTGCTCACTTCGACATCCACAGCTCATATGACTTAAACTGATCTTAATTTTGTCCGTCTTTGTACTTCCAGAATATCAACCAAAAATATCAAAGTCATAAAACATCTTTTCTGACCAATCAGTAAAAGGCCAATGCACTTTTCACAGCAGCTGTTTCTGAATCACTGAATGACTGTACAGCCAACACTGATATCACCCAGGAAGGCAGATCTGACCTGGTTGGCATTAGCAATGAACCCCATGGCAGGCAAGCACAATCAAGCCATCAGCAACAACAACAAGGCACTTTCATCAACACTGGTGCCTTCAGCAGCAACTAACTACTATGATGCGGCAAATCATGGAATATTTATCCCATGAGTCTATTTTACCCTATATTAATATATATATGTTGATTCTCTCAATGTGACTATCTCAACTATGACCCTAAATGAACTCTAAGTCTCCTGTGACTGATATACAATACCCCAGAATGAACATATGATCAAAACCTGTAGATTATGGGAAATAAAAACTGTTTACTTATCTCAACTATGTCATATCTCTACCTGTTGTTTTGTCGCTTCCATATTTTTTTTTCTTGTTACACTCTTAATGTGGCCAGTTGTATTCACAATCAGGCACATGGTCTTATTGCCCAAAAGATGAACTTGGCAAGTGATCAGGAAATTCACCAGACTTCAAACCTGTCAAGAATCTTGGAGCCATCAGACAAGAGCATGTCAAAAACGTTGTCTTGAACTTTCCCAAAAGGCAGCAGCATACTTGACTATATTTGATATGAGTGACTTGATAAAGTTTTAAAAGAATTAATTGAGGAACAACAAATGCTTACAAATCTCCTTTACTCATTTCAAACAGGGTTGGATTTTATAAAGGTTTCTGGTGGGAAATCAAATTATATTAATATTACATTGATTTGGTGTTGCTTGCAAAAGAAAAGTTGGTTTCATTAAGGTGCTCTTTACTCATACAATGTTAAGTCACTTCAATAATGAAGGATTCTTAACATTTCCCCTGCTACAATGTTACAGCATTGTTGCATGGCTATGCTGGCTTGTTTTGGAAACATTAGTAAATTACCAACTTGGTATCTGTGCTGGACACAACAATTTACTCTCATCTTAATGGAGAGTCTGATCAGTTCAATAAGGTCAGATTGGTAGCTGATTCCAAAAATGATCTACATTCTGTTGTTAACTAGGGCAAGGAATGGCTTGTTAACTTTAACACCTCCAAAACAAAACTACTTTCTTTTAATCATCCGAGAGAACCTTTTTTGCATCCCATCAGAATGGCTGATGCTAACCTTCAGGAGAGTGATTTCTTGCACGTTTTTGGGTTAACATTTTCCACTGACATGAAGTGTAAAGATTATATTGAATTAATTGCTGGGTCTGCTGTTAGGAAAGTTAGTTCACTGTGTTGTGCTAAGATAATTTTCCTTGCCAGTATCTATCTTGTATATTTATAAGTCTACCATTCATATGTGCATTGAATATTGTTGCCACATCCGATTTGATGCTTCTGCTATATATTTAGAGATTCTTATTAAAATCCAAAGAAGAATCTGCAATATTATTGGTCCTGACCTGGCATCTTGGCATCAGTCACTTTCCAACCACTATAACATAACTTCCCTATGCCTTTTCTATAAATATTTTCATGGTAATTTTCCTGATGTGCTTTACTATTTGGTACCTAGACATTACAAATTTAAGCACAGTACTACATTGGTGACAAGGTCTAATCATTTTAGAGTAGAAATTGCTAGATATAAGTTCTATGATAACAGTTTCTTCTTTCACACTTCTGGAAATCTAATCTCTTCTAGATTCTTACTTTCCAGTCAATAATAGACCAGGAATTAAGAAGACAGAAGATAATGATTGACATTGCATTTGATTTCTGTCTTCTTAATTCCTAGTTTATAGTTGTTTTTCTTTTTCTCATATTTTTTTACACTCAGTGCCCCCCCCCCTATATTTTAGTGGCTGTATTTCCTTGCTTGGGTTGAAATAATTTAAAAGACAAAAAAAAAAGCATGGAAATGTTATACAATAAATTGACATATAAAAGAAAAGCAGCAATTATTTCAGATTTGTATATTGCAATTTTTTACTACTACATGATTATACTGTTTAGGAAAAACTATTCTTAAAAGCTAAAATAAAGCTTTTAAATTTTTACATATTTAATTCCTCCAAATACACAAGTTTCTAAAGTGTAAAAACAAAAAAGTATCTCATTCTTGATCATTTTGTTCTTTCACTATTTTTCAACAGTTTAAATTTATACCTTTTATATAAATCATTGATAACATCTTCCCTGTTCATTACAGGCTCAATGAAAGGACATAGGTACCATCAGAAAGAGACAGCTGAAATTTCTAGGTCATATGAGGAAAGAGGGCTTGGAAAATTTGACACATACTGGATATATTGAAGGCAAGAAGGACAAAAGAAAGCACTGCATAAGCTACCTAACAAGGTTATGTAAATGATTGTCAGAACAGAGATGAGATATACCAAGAAGACAAAATTTACTAAAGGCTAGAAAGAACAGGAAGTTGTTGAAATTGCCTACATCCTGAGGGGACATGGCACATAGAAAGAGAAGTCTCTGATGAAGTTGAAAGCTCTCCCTCTCTTTTTGCCTTTGTTTGACAATCCCTAATATATGTGCAATGATATGAATGAACATACAAATACACACTCAAACAAACACAGAAATATAGGCATACATGTAAAAAAACTTGTACACTAACTATTTCTTGTTCATTATTTTATCATGTATTTCCAATTAAAATTCTTGAAGAAAGCATGCATCAATATTCTTCAGCATTTTCAACAGAGATCCAATGTATTTGCTTTATTTTCTTTCTCTAAATGTGAACTTTACATTTTCTATTGTCTACACTAAGTTTTCAGTGGTCAAATTGCAATCAATGTTCTGCAGGCATTTCAGGAGTTAAGTCTGCAGTAGTTGTGGGTTGCCTTTGGCCAAGGACAGAACCTGAGGTGGGTTTTTGTACATGACTTGTATTGAACTCTTGTAAAAAAGAGCAAAGGGATGCTCTTCTTCCATGACTGCACTGGTTGTGATGTCTTTTCAGCATTCCATAGCAAAGGAGAGAAGTCTACATGGCAAACTTGGGATATTTGTGATGAGGCTTCCAGTGTCATCAGCAAACTCAGCCAGTACCCACCAGTAGTGGATGATGAAGACCTGGTGACTTTGGAGAAGTTTGTGGTCATGATGTACAACAGATCCAGCACAACTGAAGGTGTCAATAATGTAAGGTTGGACATGTTTGCTTGGAAGCAGAGGCCATACAAAGCCATTCCTCCCACCTGAGCAGCACTGAAGCAGCATGTGAATCCTGCTGCCTATCAGGTGGGCTGCATCTGGAATCAGTCAACAATACATCAACCAAAAATGCAGACTCCTGCCAACTGTGGCTGGACCAAAAAAGAAGATCTGTGACAGAGCCTCCCACCCATTGCAGAAAGTTGCCAGCAGCTGACCAAATGTGGATGAAAGTCAGAATGCTGTGGTCAATACAAATGCTTTGGTCTGACCTGCATAGCACTTTGCAACTGCAGATGTGAGGTTTAGAAATGTTGTAGCATACTCATCCAGATAGCAAAACAATATGTGGCAAACAAGTATAGGCCTACTGCTTATACGTAGATCCAATAATATATTGAACTGATGGTGCCTATGGATTCCAGGACTGATATTATGGTACAAAAAAAGTTTGTGAGTAGGTACATGGTTCCAAATTCGATTCTACATAGTGAAAAATGTTAGATTTGACACCAAAATCATTCAAATAGGACAACTTTTATTACAAAATGCAATATTTCCAAATATTCACTGGCATCCATCTTGAAAAAAATGGCCACCATCTTAAATTTTTAGGTGGCTAATAGGTTTTATCAAGAGAGCAATCTCCAAGGAGTATTTGGTGTTTGTTTCCAGAAATGAAAGATTGTTAGTTATCTACTCCACTAACAACACTGGTTGAAAGTGATTTGATGAAATGAAGTAAGCACATCTTTTTACTTGTTTGATTCTGTTGCAGAAGAAACATCATCCATTGCTCAACTCATCTTCATTATAAGCTAGAATATCATTTGTCAAAGAAAACTGAAAATCAAATATTTTATGACAATGGTTTATTCAATTGCAGCAATATTGTTTACTTAGATACACTTCAGAATGATTTAGATTTTGATAACAGAAGGAAAAAAAGACTTACTTTTCAAAGGTCACTTTGTTTTCTTCCACAAGTTGTTTGGACAGACTAGTTGAAATCATGTAGACATTCAAATTTTTATTAAACATCAGCTGAAAAAGAATTTTAAAATGTAAATATTAGGAACTTTAATTTTTTCTTTTTAATTAATTTCAAAATTGTCCAAATTTAAGAATATTCTTTTCCTTTCTGAAATTTGCCAAAAGTCAAAAAAGTAAATTTAATTAAGTTTGTATGAAATTGATAATATGTCCAGCAAACTGGATAGAAAATATAGATCCCTTTTCAAACTGCTCATTAATGTCAAGAATTGCTCTAAAAGTATTGCCTCCTATTTTAGTATGTTGAACAAAGTAGAAAATGAACCTTCTCGCCAATAGGCCATAATATTATTTTGCCTTTTTGTTATACCGGAACGTACCTATTTGATTGTAAATAGACTCTCCCACAGATAAGTAGTAGTAGTAGTAGCAGTCACCAGTGGAGCTCAGTGAGTTGTGCGAGTCAGTCGATGTCAGACAGTATGAGCCCCACAACTGGATTGCTGCGTCATTGATTATTATTGCAGGTTCCTAGGATGAAAGATGGCGTCATTGATTATTATTGCAGGTTCCTAGGATGAAAGATGGCGTCATTGATTATTATTGCAGGTTCCTAGGATGAAAGATGGCGTCATTGATTATTATTGCAGGTTCCTAGGATGAAAGATGGCGTCATTGATTATTATTGCAGGTTCCTAGGAATCTGCAATAATAATCAATGACGCAGCAATCCAGTTGTGGGGCTCATACTTTAATGTCCGACATCGACTGACTCACACAACTCACTGAGCTCCACTGGTGACTGCTACTACTACTACTTATCTGTGGGAGAGTCTATTTACAATCAAATAGGTACGTTCCGGTATAACATCCCTCCCCTAAAACTTTACTCTGGAGGAGTAAAAAGTTTTCTTAATTTATTTTTCATTATTTACAGAAAATATGAAGAAAAAACAAAAAAAAAAATTTTTTTTTTTTTTTTTTTTAGCAACATCGTAGTGTATTTCCTACGTTTTTGATCCACTTTTAAATGATCAGTTGCCTTTCTTTTTTTCTTCTGGATCGGTGTACCTTACGTAAAATTATTTGCAGGGGTTGTTAGATCAAACTTATTGAAAATCACCTCCATCAGCGTTTTTTTTTTTTTTTGTTTTTTTTGTGGGACTTCTGTCAACCACGTCTGAAAAACGTCGTCTGATCTCATTACTGCACGTGAGTTTTTCCCCTTTCACCAAGTACCTCATATAGTCAATCCGCTTTCCTATTTTTTTTTTTTTTTTATATCTCCATAGTATTACCAGAAACAACCTTCTGCTTTGCGCTTCTTAAAGATGGAGTCACAGTTTCTGTAGGTTCTTCTTGTTGACTTAAATCATTTAATAATACTGCATGTCCTTGGCTGCGGGTAACTCGTTCCCCACTTTTTTTCGGTGTCGGCTTCATTTTTACTTTCTGGAGCTTGTTTTTCACGTATATCGTCGGTGTTACCCATTCAACTTTTTTAAATACACTGGTTTTCTCTAATCTGTCCAATTCTTTATCTATCTGTTCAATTGAAGCAAACAGCACATTCCTTTTCCTTTTGAATACCACCTGAGCATTTTGTTTTGGCTGTAATTTTGCCTCCATCTTGGTACACGTTCCCAAACCTGGAGAAAAAAACAGTAGGAAATGTTCCCTTAAGTTTCCTTACTAATTTTCGGGCTTTGTAGTTTAAAAAATCTACCTTGTAACAGAAAGAATTTATCGGTAGATCCCATAATTGAAATTCTGTTATCCAATTCGTACCAAGTAAGTTCGTGGTATTTTTTTATGACAAATAGTTTAGCTTTTCACGTTTTTTTATTTAACGTGACATTTGTAACAAATTCTCCAATAAATTGTATTTTTTCTCCCGTCACTGACCTCGTGATTTTATTTGTTTTCATTAAAGTTAGTTTCCCCAACTTCTTCCACGTATTCAAATTTATGATAGATAGGTCGGAACCAGTGTCGAGTTGCATTTTTATTTTTTTATTACTTATTTCGATGGTAACAAATTTTCTGGTTATTCCGTCGTTCACTTCATTGGACTTTAATTTTCTTATTTTAAAGTCTTTATTTTTTGACCTGCAGTGCGAGCTTTTATGACCCACTCTTTCACAGTTGAAACATTTTTTATTCTTAAAATTGCAATATCTTTACCAGTGTAGTTCACCGCAACCAAAACATGGCTTCGGGAGTTGTTTTTTTTCTGGTATTTCACTTTTTGTTTGATAATCCGCAATTTTAGCATTCTTTTTGGTAGACTGACTTTTTTTGCAGCGTATTTTCCTTACATGCGAAACGCCAGACTGTTCTATCTTTTTTGAATCTTTCTTTACGCTAACATATCTTGTGCAGTCTTCTGCCAAACTCTGTATAATAAGACTTTGTTGGTTTTCCAATTTTGAAAGTACCAATTTTGAAAGTACCAATTTCCTCAATTCTGCATCTACTTCCGATACTAGCCCTTGAACAAACACTGAGAGGGAAAGAAACAAGACAAACAGTAGGATTCAAAGAGACAGAAAATGATGATTGAGATTGCATTTAAATTTTTGAAGATCATAATTGACAGGAAAGAAGGTAATCAGAAGAGAGCTCAACAAGTGAGAAGAGTGAAAGAAGAAACTATTAGCATGGAACTTAAAGTTACAAATAGCAATTTCACCAGTGAAACTATGAGACCTTGCTGCCAATCTAGTATTGGTCTCAAATTCGTGAAGGTATCATCAAAACAATTACTGTAAAAATGTTTATAGAAAAGGCGCAGGAGAACTACGTTATGGTGGTAGGAAAGTGACTGAAGCCAAGATGCTGGGTCATGATCGATAATGTTGCAGTTACTTTGTATTTGGTCAAGAATCTCTGGGTACATAGCAGAAGCTCAAGATCAAATGAGGCAGCAATATTCAATGCATGGATTAATATGTGCAAGATAGACTCTGTTGAGAAAAATTGTCAAGCACAACACAATGAACCGATTTTACTAGCAATTGATTTGATATAATCATTCCACATTATATCAGTAAAAATGTAAAACAAAAGATAAAGGGTGTGCTGTGTATCCCTCAATGAATTTGTTGACTCAGTCGTTCACTTCTGAACCGACTGCTCGGTTGAACTCTCTGTCTACGGACAGAGAGGAACCCGAAGGAGGCTACGCCGAAGGGCGGAGTCTCCTTCGGGGAGCTAAAACCGGCCCTGAACCCGTTTATACGGGTTCAAATGGGCTATTTTCTGGCCGAGCCTAATGGCTCGGAAATGCCCACGTTAAAAAGGCCCTGTGCCACATGACGCCCTCGTAGGGGGGACGACTAAATATACTCAGTGAATTTGTTAATACTTAATGTTATATTATTATACAAACACCCATACTAACCACAAGAATGATAAGTCCCTACTAGGGTTACAGCAGCATTCTCAGTGACTGGAAACAACACAGGACATACAATGTCTAGGTACTTTGTAAATAGTATGTTAAAGCATAAAGTTATGAAAAAAGATATCATGAAAATGAAATTAAGTATCTGTTATTATTAGCAAATGTTTAACACAAAACATAACACTTACACTAAATCGTGATAAAGTGCCATGTGCTGAGTTGTTTTCTTGATGAAATTTTTTGCTAATTTCTGACTAAAGATAAAATGAGTGAGTGCAAACATCTCATGAAAAGTACCCAAGCCCACTATTTGGTGAGGGCGGAGGATTGGCTGTTGGTCCCCCCACCACCAGGTAAGCCGTACATTCAGTTACCATCATGAGGAAGAAAGCAGACAACTATTTGCTGCCCCGTGTGAGTATAGTTTCGCTCTAGCAGAAACCCATTTACATTTTTTCTTTGTTTTTTTTTTTTTTTTTTTTTTCGTAGCGACATGTCTGACTGCAATAGACGTCTCTTTGCCTCCGCCCGTAACGAATGTAAGCGTGTCCTCAACGATGCTAAGTCACTATTTGCAGCTCGGATGAATGAACGTATTGCATCTCGCAAATTTGGCTCCAAAGATTATTGGCGTCTCTGCAAGAGCGTATTGAACAATTGCAAACCCTCTATACCTCCTTTATTCAACCAGTTCAAAGTCCTGACCTCCTCTACCGACAAGGCTGAATGCTTTGCTCGGAAATTTTCATTCAACTCGACGCTCGACTCTTCCGATGTACCCATACCCGACTTCCCTCTTAGAACTGAGGCCATATTGAGTGGGTTAAACATAACCCCATCTTTGGTACTGGCCGTTATCTCCAATTTAGACCCCAACAAGGCTAATGGTGGAGACGGGATACCAGCCATTGTCTTGAAGAAATGCGCGCCTGAACTCGCGCCTTTTCTAAACTATACAACTACTGCCACAAGTAATCTTGTTTTCCTGACTGCTGTATGTCCTCTTCGATCGTTCCTGTCTTCAAGAACTCCGGCGACCCCTCTGACCCTTCCAACTACCGTCCTATCAGTCTCCTTCCCCTCTTCGGCAAAGTCTTCGAAGCCCTAATCAATACCGGGGTGGTTAACCACCTCACATCCCATAATCTGCTCTCAGACAAGCAATATGGTTTCCGCTTTGCCCGATCTACAGCCGATGTGCTTACGGCCATCACTGAAACAGTCTACCGAACTCTTCAAAATAACGGGGAAGCCCGAGCCGTGGCACTAGACATCTCCAAAGCATTTGATAGGGTTTGGCATGCCGGCCTTCTTCGCAAGCTCCAGGGTTATGGCATTACGGGTCGATTATATAACCTAATACGATCATTCCTGTCAAACCGTGAATTGAAGGTCGTTCTCAACGGATTCTCCTCCAGTTCCTATCCCACGAACGCAGGTGTTCCTCAAGGCTCCCTCCTAGGCCCCACTCTATTCCTTATCTACATAAATGACCTTCCTGACGCCATAACTTCCCAAGTTGGCATCTACGCGGATGACACCACAATTTATTCCTGCCTCAAAAACAAATCTAGTCTCGTTGACAAAACTCACCTGGCCGTGCGTCTCGAAAAGGACCTCCAATCGATTGTGAACTGGGGCATGAATTGGCTGGTCAACTTCAACGCTTCTAAGACAAAACTGCTCTCTATTAATCACCACAGAGATCCTTCCCTTCCCTCCATTAGAATGTCTGACGTTCAACTTCTCGAGAGCAACTCCCTGCGGCTTCTCGGTCTCACGTTGACTGCTGACCTTAGATGGAATAAATACATTGAGTCAATTGCCTCGTCCACCGCAAGGAAAGTTGGCTCCTGAGCCGCGCCAGGAAGTTTTTCTCCCCGGAGTCGATCCTCCAGATCTACAAATCAACAATTCGCCCTTGCATGGAGTATTGCTGCCATATATGGTCTGGTGCCCCCTCTGTTTGCCTCGGGGTTCTTGATAGGCTCAAGAGGCGGATATGCAATGTAGTTGGCCCTGCCCTGGCGTCTCGTCTACAGTCACTTTCTCACAGACGCGCCGTCGCCTCCCTCTGTCTGTTCTACAAATACTTTCATGGAAATTGCTCCGAGGAGCTGCATTTGCTGGTTCCCAGACGTCATGAGTTCCAGCGCCTTACGAGGCTGGCATCCGCTCTCACCCCTTCACTGTCGAAACTCCTAAATGTAGCCGTCTCTTCTACTCTAATAGCTCCATGTCTCGCACCTCTCGCCTGTGAAACTCCCTTCCCTATTACTGTTTCCCTGTGAGCTATAATCTCCAGCTATTCAAGTGTAATGTCAATCGACATCTCCAGTTGCCTTGATCTATCCACTACCCTCATCCTTTCTTCTATCACTCCTATCTGATCTTGCTCTAAACTTTCTGTAACCCCTTGCGTCCTAGTGGCTTCCTGCCTTGCTTGGGATGAAATGCTTAAAAAGAAAAAAAAAATTTGTTGATACTTACCCTGACAGTAGCCAAAGAAGAGAGTGGTGGATGTCCTTCATCTGTGGCTTTCACCAGAAATTCTAAATTATTTTTGTCAGTCTGTGAGTGTAGAGGTTTCTTCAACAATAAATTCCCTGTTTTATTGTCTATTATTACAAATTCTGAAATACTGTGAAAGTAAAATATAGTCAATATTTAAATCATCAAATATCAATATCTTCAGAAACATTGAAATGAAATTAAAATTTATGCTGTTGTATTTCAATCATTTATTTCCTGAAACTGAATTTGACAAGAGAAAACTACAAAAATTTATGCTGTTGTATTTCAATCATTTATTTCCTGAAACTGAACAAATTAATTTGACAAGAGAAAACTATAAACATTTTCAAATTCATTTTTAAAATAGCATTCCAAATAATTTATATAGTTTAGTCATATATAAAAATATTACAAAACATTAAAATAATGGGTTATCAGTTTACAAATTTATAATCTACATAATAAAGCTTCCTTTCATAGGCAAACTCATAAATCACAAGTTTCTCTGCCTTGACATTAGAGCTGTGCATGACTTAAGATGCTGTAAATGAAGTTGATACCAAGAAAAGTTTATTGTTTTCCATAAAACAATATTCCTTGTGAAAAATGACACATTCTGTTCTAGTTTGTTACTATTTATTGATTACTTATATTAATTAAGCTCTTATATTTTGTAATGCCCCAATTGTGAAAAAAAAGTAACAAATTGGCTGATAATGAAGAATTATAAAATATTAATAAATGTTTTATTGAAAACTCCTGGAAAAATCTTTTTTCTTTAAGAAAAAAAAAAGAAATGCTAACTTTGATAACAGTTTATAGTTTCTATTGAAATCATCTTAACTTAATTGATAATAAATTTGAATAAATTACTAATATTTTCCATCACTCAGATATAATAAAATATTTACTGATTAAGATACTTTTCTATAAACGAAAGAGAAAAACAATTGCAAATTTAAGATAATTTAAAAAACAAATCCAAATCAAAACTGACCTGAAACTTCCAGGAATGACAAAAAATGTCTCATTGTTTGGAGGTAAACCATCTCTGTCAGTCACCTGAAATTTGCATGTCATTGAAACAGTTACTGTATATTAATGAAATGATTATAATAAAACTATATGGAATTATAAAAGCAAACTAATGATTATCAAAATAATTAGCAAGATCCTTGTCTTATATTGTAGCTATAAATTTCAGATGACAGGAATATGTCATTGCAGTTCTATGGCTTAATGACAAACAATACAGTTAATATATGAAAGTATCAAACTGTTGAACTAGGACAAAATTTTAAAAAATACCAGCCAAGCCACAATGCAGTTTTGCAATTTTGAATTTAATGAACTTAAAACCAATTAATTTTTTTTTAGGGTAGTGGCAAATTTATAAATAATTCCAAATAAAAACCAATTATTTTTTGCAATTTAGCTTGTAGTATGTAAAAAATTTGTATATGTTTCATATTGATGAAAATGCTTTAAGGATTTATCATTTTTATAAGCTAACAAAAATATCAGAAAGTGTATGAACATTTCTAGTCATCTAATAAAACAGAAATAAATGCAAAACCAAACTTACACTAATTTTTCCAATGATATGACCAGCAGGCATTTTTGAAGAAATAAGGAACGTATATTCCAATTGACTAAATGTTGGTGTGTGATCATTTACATCTTGAACATGAACAAACAATGTGATATTGGCACTCACCTGTAATAATAATGATACTAATAATAACTTCATTGAATGGCTGTGTTAAGAAAATGATGAAAACAATGAAAATATAGAACTATAGAAATACAAGTTCAGAAAAACATTGCAAAACACACTCACTGATCAGGTTTTGTTGGTTACATTATTTTACAGATCTTTTTAACTATTTTAGCATTGAATGTTTTTATTGCTTATAACATTATTATTATTATTGTTTAGTTTATTTAATTAAATATTAAATCTTCACATTAATTTAACTAAATTCTACTGATTTTTATTTCATATTTCTTTACATGTGCCATCAAAAAATGATGGTAATATTTAAGTATTAATTAACATTAACATGTAAGTATTCATTTTTCACAAAAACTGAAAAATGGATTGGTTAAAATATTGGGTTAAAAATATAAATAATTCATTTGCCTAAACAAAATCTGAAATAATTAGAATCATTTTATGACAATATAATATTTCAATAATCCGGCCAGAATTTAACCAATACCATATATAAAGTGTTTAATGAAAGATACAGATGATTTTTACTTACTGTGTCTGTGAAGGCTAATATTTTCAATTCATATCCAGTAACTGATTCATAATCAAGAGGTCCATCCACAAATACTTCACCCCTAAAATGGAAGAAAGATATAGAAATGTGCAGTATTTTTGGAGGTATTAGATAAACCTTTATATTCATAAAGAAAACCGTAGTTAATACTGAAAATTTAATAATTAAAATAGCAGGTATAATGACATTGTTCATAATAAGTCAAGCACAATATAGCAAATAAATTTCTGATATTTAAAATCCCAATTTATTTACATTTTCCAACCAAGTTTGTTTTGTTTTTTTGTAAAGTTGTGTGTCAGTTGATTTTTATGGATGTATTTTTTTATAGTAAACATACTTATTTGAAATGTTTATAGAAATGAACATGTGTCTGATTTACAAGCCGTATCCTCTGATCCACCAGCGGAAAATATTCACTAGTATCTCTCTTTCACTCAATTGATCTTGGAGAATGCCATAACTTAAAGCTTTTCAGAAGAAAAAGGAAATACAAGCTGATTGACTGAGATAAGCTGGCATATAGTTTCAGTTACAGATGAGTGTTTTAATCTCTGACCACTTGTCTCTTTGCCTCTGAAATCTTTACATGTCAGCCATTTTAATTATTCAATTTTGAATATTTTAGAAGCATATAAAAAATGAGGATCAAAATATAAATATATAAAAATAGAAAACTCCAGGCAGAAGCCACCAAAGATAATGTTTACAAGATTGAAAATTTGCATATATCATATACAACAGATCACAAAGTGTAAAAAGAGTTTTCAATCAAATAATTTTTCAGTTGGTTTGAGTAAATTCAAAAGTCTTCAAATTTGTATTCTTTAAAAAACAGATAAATAAAAGACTTTGTAAGAGGCTATAGTTAGGTAACTGAAAAATACTAGCTTATCTATACAAATCTATAGCAAGTGACTTTGTTACTCTAAAAGATCAAGCAAAGTAGGTAGAAATGAAAAGATTCAAAATATATTGAATATGCTTTGTACTTCTCTTTTACCAGTGAGTCAAGACATTTACTGAGGTGTATAAATTTTTTCTATATTAGATTTCTACAAACAATTCAAATAAGACTGATTATGAAAAAGATACATCCAAAGAAAATCAATTCATAGAAATTTTGCTTACACAAATTTACAAAAAAAAAAAAGTTTTAAATTTGACCAGTTATTGGAAATTTATTAATTATATCAATATTGATTAATTACTAACACTATTTTAAGGGGATATAAGGAATGGTAGTGCTTGCTAGGAGACCTTTGCTTTACAAGATGCTTAAGCATTTATTAACATTGCTATAAAATGGAAAAGCTGCAAGTTAAATAGCAGGATAGGCTGAGCTCCTTAGCCTTTGGTTGAAAACAGTCCAGAAGGAATACACTGAGTTCAAAACTATGGAAAAACTTATCTTTCCAGAGATGACATAGAAATTTATACATAATAAAGAAAAGGAAACTGTGGAGAGCTACAATCGCCTACATTCTGAAGGTGTTTAGGAAAAAAAGCCTAGAAAAAAAAGACAATGTGGATAAAACTAATATAGTTTGCAATTATTTCCCATGTCAAGCACTTAAAAAACTTTGAAAACTTTTTTTTTTTTTTTTAACTACTTTAATATTGGGAAATAGCAGAAATGTTTAATAATTTATTTTAAGCTTACAAAAAATAATATATCCCATAATATATTTAATCTAGATAATTTAGTTTAATCCTTTAGATCCTAATTTGTTATTAATATTTTTTCATTTCATATATCAGGTCCTTTCAGGATATAGGCAGTCATGTCTCTTTATAACTATGTCTTTTTTCTTGTTAATAAGTGTAATTATTACTTTCTAGGAATAATCTCAATTGATTGCTGCTGCTACTAATAACAATGATAATAATGTTGGGACATTTTTATTCTATTCTTAGAAAATTACTTGGTTTTAAAAAAAACACATTGGATTTAAAGGAGAGTGCTTGTTGAAGTTTTCCTGACATTATTAATATTATAAAATTATTTTAAAAAGTCAGATTAAAGTGGTTAAGGAAAAAATATTTTCTTACATTCTCATTATTTTTATGGGAACTGGAAATTTTGTCCTCAGCTTAATGAATGTCATGCCCCATCTTTCATCCTGCAAGATAAAAAGCAAAATGAATTTTAAAATAAAGAAGAAATACTTTGACATTTAAAATGTATGTAGAATAAACAAATTGTGTAATGACCAATGATCTATACTCATAATGGTGATAGTAGTAGTAGTAGTAGTAATAAAAAAACAATCTATGGTTGATAACAGCTCATACTATATTCAAATGGAGAATGGAGTGAGTAAAACAAAAATCAAGATTCATTTATTTCCAAATCATCTGGGCCAAATAAAAGGATGAGGTTTCTTTTCTTCATCCAAGCTAAATAAGACAAAGAGTTTCTTTTCTTCAATCATTTGGGCCAAATGATAGATAATTTATTTCAAATCATCTGAGCCAAGTATGAGATAAGGTTTTTTTAATTTCAAATCATCTGACCAAATGAGAAATAAGGTTATTTCAAGGTATCTAGATCAAATAAGAGATAAGATTATTTCAAATCATCTGGACTAAATAAGAAAAAAGGTTATTTCAAATCATCGGGACTAAATAAGTAACATGATTATTTCAAAATCGTCTGTGCAAAATAAAAGATTTTCTTTTATTCAAATTATCTGAGCTAAATAAGGGAAAACATTTTATTTCTTCAAATCATCTTGGTTAAAGAGAGATGATCTATTTCAAATCATCTGAGTCAAATATGAGACAAGGTTTCTTTATTTCAAATCATCAAAGCACTTCCAAAGCATGAAGCAATGATGAAAATTTTTTAGCGTGAATGATTGTTAAGCACTTTAATATATGTCCAAATATACATCAGTACCTGTCAATGTTTCCTTGGTAAAGTCATTTGTCAATATAAAATAAGAAACTTTTACATTTTTAGACATGTTACTAAATGTGTCCTTTGATCATGCCATGTTACAATTCTTTTCAAACATATGAACATAAATGTGACAGAGAATTATACTTTAATAAATTATTCAACATAAGATATTAGCTAAACTCAAATTCAAGATTTATGTCTAAATTATAAGAGAAATTTAAAGTTTATTTAGATCAAAACTGAAATTACTTACATCAAAAAGTGTTTTTAGATCAATCAGCCTTGTTTTGATGGGTGTGTTCTCATCAACATAAACATGGTGTACAATCCTGGTATTATCACTTTTGCTTGCATTTTTGGCTACAATCATCACAGGCACCTTTGTACAGCGACTGTCAAGCAAAAAAAATTAGTATTAATTCTGAGAAAAATGCTAATGAAACCTATTTGATATTCTAAAGAATCAAATTTTATGTGATGATAGACATATTTGACCATGCTGTAATGAATAGCTGTATACTGGGTTCAATTTTTTGATTGTTTCTTTTACTGTAGAATGTTGGTTAGTTGCATGACTGAAGAAGATTTAACAAAGTGTTTTCTTGGAATGATTTGTCACTGTAGAACTCTGGTTCTACAGTGACTCAATTTAATATAATCCAATTTTCAGTTGTATTTAGCATTACTACATGCCTCACAATTGAGATCAGCATGTTCATCTTGGTTGCCATCATAAATTGATTTTACATCTTTCTTTTTTTCTGAAAAGTCCAAGCATATTATTTTTCTTTTTCATTAGAGATCAAAATGTTTGAAAAGTAAAATACTTACTGATAGGAAGGATCACCAAAATAATCACAAGCCTGGAGAAAGAATTTGTAGGAAGTGGCTGGTCTTAGAAAAGTATTTGCAAATATCCTGCCACTGATATCTTCAATATAAATGGGCGGCGGCTTTCCCCCCCACTGAACTAAATCTGTGAGGCCATATCGGAGTTCTGCATTCTTTCCTACATCAGCATCTGTTGCAACAACCTACAGAAGGAAAAGTATTAGAGATAAACATAAGACAAAAAGCAGAAGTTATCTCAGTGCTGCAAAGTTCATATTCACTGATTCCTTTCCAACATTTATCCTAAGAGAAAGAAAATAATTGATTATCTTATTATGAAATAGCATTTCAAGTTTGTTCAGTTCATGTATATACTGATATAATGCTGGATTCAAACTTAAATTTTGTTTATTTTCATAAAACAAATTTTCAACTTTATTATTATTTCTCTTATTTTGATTTATATCTTTACTTTCATCTTATCAGTCATCAGTTTTTGTAATGTACTGTCTTAAGAGTATTTTTTTAAATTGGGAACTAATCAAAACTAAAGACTGGGTAAATATAATGGTTTCTGCCTTCCTTGTAGTAGAACATCCACCAACAATATACATGGAAAAGCTGTTATTTTACTGATACAAGTATTATGAGAGTCTATCAAATATATGCACAGGTTTCAAAATAAAAGCTGTATCAATAATACTTAGACTTCATATTTATACTGTATATCCTCTTTGGGCATTAATATAGGATCACATACTTGCATGTATATCCTGCTAAAACATAACAACAAAAAATTTAGGTGAACAAATTGAAGGGGTTAGACATTGTTGCATCATCTCCCATAGATGTTCAATGGAGGAAATATCATACCAATCAAAGAAGTTGTCAAACATCTTGCAGAGCATGTTGAGTAATATGGACAGCATGTGGGTGGGTATTATTCCACTGGAATAGCAAATTACTATTGCTTTACAGGTATGGCAACAGAATGGGCTGACCAATGTTCTGGATATACATAGTACTGTTTAATGCTGAAATCCACAAATACCAAATGTTAGCAAGAGTTGTAACTTATAGCACTCTAGCCTATGATGCCAGGGTTGGGGCCTGTGTGTCATGACTGAATAAACTGTAGAAGATATCACTCTCCAGGTGTCTGTCACACATGAAAATGATTCTGAAGGCAAAAATCTGTTCTTATCCACAAACACTACAGAATACCATCCAGTTCTCAGTAACAACTCCATTGGTGATGTCCATGATTGTGTTGGGGTGTAACTAGAAATACATCTTGCTGAAAATAAACAAATCTCAATGATCTGTGCTGATACTACTGGAACTAAATTTTCTTTGATCTGTGCAGTTTGCCTTTCAATGTGTCAATCCTGGTGAGAATCTGTACTATGTGGCTATCCAGAACCTGGTCTATAGATATAGGAATAGTCATTTGACCATTGTTAACATTAAACAAACACCAATGTAACATGTCCAAGATGTGTAGCAATTTTTTAAAAGGACCGTCCAGCTTCTGAAAGCCCACAATCCAACCATTTTGAAGTAGTTCTAATTGAACAAAATCAGCACATATGCAACAATGTGACATACTACCTTATTTCAATGGACATTTTTATTACACTAAACCTTATGACAGTATGTGTCACTGCTTAAAGCTTAGATATAGACCTTACGACAGTATGTGTCACTGCTTAAAGCTTAGATATAGACCTTACGACAGTATGTGTCACTGCTTAAAGCTTAGATATAGACCTTACGACAGTATGTGTCACTGCTTAAAGCTTAGATATAGACCTTACGACAGTATGTGTCACTGCTTAAAGCTTAGATATAAACCTTATGACAGTATGTGTCACTGCTTAAAGCTTAGATATAGATGGTGAAATGGCATGACTTACTATGTCAGAAAATGGTTGAAGACTTTAACAATTTCATTAGAATAACAAATACTTGCTAGCTTGTGCAACAATGTACCCAGGTCAAAATTGGTATTGTCTTTCATAGTATTGCAGTTTTACTTCCATTATATATACATGCTATTTATTTGTATCTTTTCTTTCAGATGTTTTAATGGAAAGTATTGGGAATCTAGAAATTTCAATTTTGTTTTAAACTAAACTTCAAAGTCACTGAAGATATTCAAAAAATTCTAGAAGTGAAAAGAAATGAAATATCTGACTATTGGCTAAAATTGACTTAAACATCTTAAGAATGGTGATTTGAGCCTTGAAATGGATGAGCATAAGTTATTGATTTTCAAACACAAGAAATCTAACTAGCAGCATTTGAAAATGTTCAGAAGATTATCAAAAGATAACTTATATAGGTCATTATATAAGTTCTCAAAAACAGAGAAGTATAAAAAACAAAAATACTTCTGATATCATTAAATACTAGTGAATAAAACAAATCAACAAAACCTTTTTGATTGTAATATTCATAAATAAATGCATTAAATCATTTAATTCCTTAAATCTTTTACAGCGAAAAAATTTACAAATAATATCCATAAATTTGCTTTGATCCTGATTTTATTGGAAAACAATAAGAAATTGTTTTAAAACCAAAATTACATTTCAGTGGCATATTTCTTGTATTAAGTAATTTAAAATATTAAACTAAAATAAATTTCTAAAAAAATAAAATACTTTCAGTTTTGAATCATTTCCATTTAAAACTTGAAAAGCAACATTTTTATCTGCTATATGAATAATTCATTGAAAATCAATTTAGCATAATTAAAAAGTATTTATTTAATAGTTGTCAAGTATTAAGAGTAAAAATTCAATCTGCTTACACTTCCTATGTAACTTCCATTACTTAAATCCTTAGCAAAAAGTAAATAACCAGCTCTCTCAAACACTGGATTGTTGTCATTCACATCTAAAAGTTTAATATTTAGATCACACATTTTACTCTCATTCCCAGTCTTCTCAACTGCTGAAACCTGAAAGAGAATTGAGATGATATTACATATAGAAGCAGAGTTCAGTTAATATTTCATCTATCATTTATTGTTAAGTAGAAAATAAGTTGACTGAATTAGAATGAAATTAAGACCTAAAATATTAAGATATTGTCCATAATGTTTCTTGCGATTTTATTTATAATCTTATTGCATAATTTTTAGACAAATTATGTTTAATAATTAAATAGTATAAATTATTCTGCTGGTAAAATAAAATATATAAGTTGTCATAGAGACATTTTCTAACAGTAAATAACCTAAACTAAATCCATTATTTTTCAAATAGGGTACCATTTAATAGATTCATTGGGATGTTTTATACATATATAAAAATTTACATCACCAAATTAGGGATTCAAGAATAAATCATTAACATTATAGAATTTAATAATACTTAAAAATATCTCAGTCAAAATATTTGAAGGATAAAGCAACAAATATGAAAATGATAATTCAAATAATTTGATAAATAATTGTGTTTTTGCATTTTATTATTGTTTTAACAATGACCATATATTGTAAGTGGAATAATTATTAAATGACCAACTTCTTCAAATATTAATCTATTCACTATTTCTATTCACACACAAAATGTGTGCTATGAAAAATTAGACATTTGTTTAAATGTGCATTGGAGCAATTTTATTCCTTGAAGATAGACTACAGAAGAATCAACTATGGGAGGCAGATGATATGATGATAATCCTCCATCCTCATCATGTGGTCTGTTTGGAGACCTAGCCTTTGGTCAAGTGAGAAATGAGGTCTCACTGAAGAAATACAAATATTCTTTGAAAAGGACCCTCATTTCCTGTGAATTTAACCATTGTCAGTGGCAAAGAAGGGTTGGGCAAAGCCAGCATAAAAAAAAAAAAAATTTAAATGGCAACTCCATAAGCATGGGACTTCTACCCTCTGCCAGATCCTCTCTTGCATTCATTATGGAAAAGTATATCTCTGCTGTATAAGCTTCACTTATCACTTGAAGAACTGTAACAGAAATGTAAAAACCCTTGTAAATCTTTGTTCATGAAGCCAAGCCATGATGATTTGCAATCAATATAGACATTAAGGTGAATCAATCTTCTGATGCATTTGTTTAATAAATTCAACCTTTAATAGCATAAGTTGCATAGAAGGAATTAACAAAACAACTTATTTGCCGTCCCAAATTTATTTTTTCTCCAATTTTTTCTGACCTAACAACACCAAATCTTTAAGTTTTCAAATATAAAAGCCTTTATCAATTGTAATTGTTAGTCCTTACCTTAACTTTCATCATCTCATGTGTTTCTCTATCAAGAATAGAGGAATTTCTTACTGTAAGTTCTCCTGTAGTAGCATTCAGATTAAAGGCATTATACTGGTCATATAGCTTATAAGTGAAAATATTGTTTGGACTCTGCAAAAGACAACAAAATGATATAAATATCAAAAAATATTAAGCAAGCATTCAAAATTTATACTTGGTATGCTTACAAGAAATGAACCTGATACAAAATAAATAAACTACAAACAGAACAATAATGCACACAGGTAGCATATATCCCTGCCAATGTCATTGTCATTAAAAAAAAAAAATTATTAAAAATCCGCTCAGAGATGGATTATGATGTAGGGAAGGTAACTGTGTAAGTTGACATTTTTTTCATTTTAAACTATTCTTTATTATATATGAAATATATCCCTCAATCAAAACACCCCAAAATTTACTCCATAGTTCACTTACCCACAAAATATCATTGAAATTGAGAACTTTTGGACAAACAATTTTAGGTGAATGTATAACATCTGTCCATCTTGATTGGCAGAGGTAATAAAATGTTCAGATTAGAGAAAGGCAAAAAACAAAAAATGTTTTAAACGTGATAAAATTGCCATAGAAATAGTAACAATATATATAATGTAAACTTTAAAATCATTTGAAGGAGAAGGTTTTAGTTAAATTTTCACTAACCACAATTAAATTGGAAGTAAAAGATGACAAGGGAAATAACTCGTCCTGAAGCTAATTGAACAATCAATTGATAAAGAACAGAAAGGTAAAAAATTAAGAAGCATTTTTACTTACATTGTCAACATCTACAGCAGAAAATTTATATACAAAGAGACCTTCTGGAGCATTTTCTAAAACCTGTACATTGTAAACATCATTTTCAAATTCTGGCAGGTTATCATCAATGTCCAAAACTGTTACCTCAACAACAGCAATGGCAGTTTTTGTTAGTGGTAAATCTGTTTGGTAAGCCTGTAAAAAATTATCAAAAAGTAAATCAAATAAAGAAGAATTTTGATAGTATAAAACTGGGTAATTTTATTTATAAATTTTTATTTATTATTTTTAACTTTGTGACATTAATATGTATATATCTTATGTAATTATGTGAATATAGAATTGGAAATGAGTTGTAAATATCATCATCATCAGTCCCATGATCGAGAGTGGTTGTAGGATCTTTGTAGAGGTGAACATCTGATTAATTCCTTCCTTATTCTGGATTGAGAACCAGAGATGTAGTCATTCATGCATATGGTGTCTTGGGCAAGTAGACCTGGCAGAGCTCATCTATATTCAGGTCAACCACAGCTGATGTCCTTTAACTTGATAGTTCACCTTGGACAGAGACATATGGCCATTGATTCCAGCCAAGGAATCCCTTCAACTAACGATATTGTGTCATCAACACACTTGCTGCATCCATAGCAATAGAGCCCACTTGACCCCATTCTGCTAGATGGCTGTTGACCCCTACAAGAAAGTTTATGCACTCTTTGAAAGATCTTATAGTTAATCCTGCCAAGTGTCTAGCCACCATTCTCACCAGAAAAGCTGGTAGGGGAACTGGTTTAATTGCTGATGAGCTGACCATGCAACAGGTAGTATTGGGATACATGTCACCATTTGGACTCACAGACTACTCTGACATAATGTGTATGAAGTCTGATCAAAACACATCATGTCTGTTGCTATGGTAATGGAGTTAAAGTATGCAGAATGAAGCTGTTGGCCACAAACTGACTTTGAACCATACACACTAAATTATAATGTTGTTCACTTCTGTTGCTTATAGCGGTGCTTGGAAGGAAAGTGTGTAGAGTGTGGTCATCTCACCACACCCCACAAAGGCTCCATCAGTGACCATGGTTTCTGCAGAAGTTTTATGGCCAAACACAACATTCCCCAGGTCTGACAACCACCATATTCCTCTTGACTTTTTCCTTTTCAAAAATTATATCCAACTTGAAAGGAACAAGATATCAAGACATATTGAAAATCCAAGAGAATGTAACAAGGTAGCTGCTTGCTATCACAAAAATGAATTTCCAGGAATGCTTCCATCAATGGAAATGATGCTGGATAAAGTGTGTCACTTCAAAAGGAGACTACTCTGAAGGAGATTAAATGCCGAATTGATGTGTGTTGTTTTCTTTTTATAGCACCAGTCCTGATACATTTTGATCAGATCTCATATATATAATTAGAAATAGTAATAGGATTTATTGAGTGGATGTATAAGTAATTTAACTAATTACATTAGTTCTGGTAAATCAGAATAAAGTAACTTATATAACCTAATCACATTAATTCTTATAATTTATCATTCTAAGATATAATAATGCATGATCTCATTTTCAAAACCATCTATAATAAAATGCAAGCCTCAATGAAATCATTGAAGTTTTATCAGTCAGTTATGTGCCATGTGTGATACATGCTTAGGCGATCATGTATCTTTTGATACATGACCGACGAGACAGATTTTTTTTCCCACAGTAGGATGCCATTTCTTTCTGCAGTATACTAGTTGCCATCCAAGGCTATAGAACCTGGTCTGTCCTGCTATTTACCCATACCTGGAGAGAGAAGAGGATTCATACCTTCTCCAAGGGTATTAGCATGTAAATGAATGTAATGGATTTGACTGGAATTTGAACTCAGTTCAATCTGAGCCGCTATCCATTACCCCACCATGCCTCCTGTTTTATCAGTAGTATTGTTTAAAAACTACATATAAGCTGAAGACTAACATCTAGTTAATAAATTCAAACTTATTAAGTACTATTTATAATTACATGATCTGATATTACTTGTTTTAATATGATCATAACTAAGTTGGCCAGGATAGATACTGAAGATGAATCTGTAATTTAATATAGGCCAAAACTAAATGTATTCTTAACACTAAAATTTATATTTTCAGGCTTCTTTAACAAAGAAAGTTTATATCAACAGGGCCATAGCAGCAGGGTGGAGGGCATGCTTAGTTCCCCCAAATTTTTACTAATTGTAGTATTTTTTACAGGCTTTTATTTTAACAAAATACAAGAAAGAACGAAAATAAAAAAAAAAAACTATCAAAGCAAGGAAGAATATAACTTTCATAAAACCCTGATGAAAGAGGTACTGGAAATTTTAAATGTTCTTTCCACTAACCCCTTTGGCTGCCTTTGATAACCTAAGACTAAATTCTAAACGGAAAAAAAAACCATCTGTCTCTGCTATGCCCTGATCAGGATATAAGAACATATCGACTCTTTTTTTATAATAATATCTTGAGTCAATAAGTTTTTGAAGTATCCACTTCAAAATATCTGAAATTTGTTATAAAACAATAAGTTAAATTATTTAAATTTTACTTTTAACTCTAGCAAATAATTAATATTGAAGAAATATTAATAAGTATTTGTTTATGTAACAATGTTATTACAGGTAAGATTAAAAAAAAATCAAAAAAATCAAAATGTTCATTAATTATTATTCTGGTTATTTGTGGGTAGAAAAAAAATCAATCATGGTTGTATTTTAGTACTGAGTGCATTTGAATCCAGTAAAACATAAGTTTCTCTTTATCACAAACTAAATATTTCTGGTAAGAGAGAAAAAAAAATTCATGATTAAGCACCAAATTTTGCAATTTTTTATTTAAAATTTGTTTTAACCAGTTTCAGTTATTGATTTGTTATGCACATTAAAAATCAGTAAGAAATGGATTGTAAATGGCCAGAAATTAAGGCAAGCATTACTGACAGAATAAGATTATTATACATACTGTGTGAATGCATTAAAATGAGTAACAAAAAGAAAATGGTGTGAGACTGTCATTGTTCAGGAACTAATGCAAGCATTATTGATAAGATAAGGCTGTAATATATAGAATTATTTTATTATGAATTGAAGTAAAATATGTTTAAAACAATTATGCTAATATATACATTTAGAAGTTATTTTAATGGCTAAAATGTAAAAGAAATATAAATATCTTCAAGAGACTTACCTGTACAAAGACAGTATACTTTTCTTGTGTTTCTCGATCTAAAACCTTACTGAGTTGGAGTTTCCCTGAGCTGCTGTTAATTAGAAAAGCATCACTTTTTGTATCTACAAGCAAAAGGAAAATGAGGTTTTGTTTTAGTTTTTAGCACAATACAAAAAAATAATTGTAGTGAAAAGTTTATAAAATGTCAGTTTAACTAAAAAATATGCCTCTGGTTGAAAGCGTTTCCTTGAAATATGTCTCAATTCACTGAAAGATCATGTGAACGTCTAAATGCAAAACAAGTGAAAGGTCATGCAAACACCTAAATGCAAAACAGGTGAAAGGTCATGCAAACGCCTAAATGCAAAACAGGTGAAAGGTCATGCAAACGCCTAAATGCAAAATCAGTGAAAGGTCCTATGAATGTCTAAATGCAAAATTAATGAAAGGTGATGTAAATACTTAAAATGGAAACTGGTAACTAGATAAAACAAGTATGAAAAAATATATGCTTGTTTCTTTGAGAACAAGGATTTGGGTGATGACAAGAATTTTAACTATGCTGCTTTAAAAATAAATTTCTTTTTCCTTCTGTAGAAGAAAAAAAATTTTTCTCATGGGTGTTGGAAAAAAAAAACACATGCTTGTAAATATGAAGCAAATTTTGGCTTCCATAGTTGAAATTCAACAATAACAGAAACAGCAACAAAAACAACAAAATCAACAGTTGCTAGAACTATCAAAACAGCAACAGGAATTGTTGGATATAATTCTGAAGAAAACAAAAAGTTCTTCAATGTCTTTTACACCAGGAATGCAGTGGCTGGGAAGATTGTTCTTTAGGAAAATAGCTCTGATAAGTTGTAAAAAATACTACAACTATATATTACTGAAACAAAAAAACCCAGGTGAAATCAAGTTTGAAGACATGGTATTAATTTTTATAAAAATCTTCAGTGACAAGCACTCTGTTTAAATAACAACTAATAAAGATGGTGAAATACAAGTGAAAATTTTAATGAAAAATTGAACAAAACAGTAATATTACACAGTAAAAATAGTAGCTGATTGCCAGACAATTCTAAGTCTGAAACACAATGCTGCTGAAATTCAGAAAAAAGAATGTGCATTGGTACAAGCAAAGGGCAAATGTACAAAAAAGAGAATAAATCCTTGTTTCAAATGTGGTAAATTACATCTTGGAAATGACTGTTCATTTAAAAATGCAGAAGTGTGCTAAACAAGGATATATAAAGTTACACTACAAAAGCAAACCAAGAAAAATTCTCACAGGAAAAAATCTGTACGTAGCATTGTCATAGGAAAAATGGTCACAGAAAGCAAAAGGAAATTTGTGAGTGTGAAAAGGCTTCTGGACACTGGTAGGGATATTTCAATAATTAGTGAAACCACATGAAAGAAATTTGGAAAACTTTTATTAAAAAGGATTTCCAAAGTTGTGATTTCAGTTTCAGGTGAGAAATTATTTTTTTTGAGAAATGACATGTAATTTTTCTTTCCATAATAAGCATGTAAAAACTAAATCCTATGCATTAAAAATGCTACACATTTATTCAGTACTGACTGGATGGAACTATTTGAACTTTGGGATTTGTCAATAAACATTTATTGTAAAAACGTAAGTGTATGAGTGACCAATTTAAAAAGTCAGAACAAAAATCTTAAAGAAGAATTAAAAAAAAAAATTTCCAGATGTTTTGTTAAATGAACTTGACATTGTTCAAAATTCAAGGCAGATCTTCAAGTAAAAAAAGCTTTGATGCCTGTATTTAAGCCAAAACAGAGCATAACATTCACAGCATTAGAACAAGTTGATGAAGAGTTGGACAGACCTTGAAAGAATTGGAGTAATAGAAAAAAATTAACCATTCAAAATGGGCTGCAACAGTAGTGTATATAAAGAAAAAAATAATAAAATTTATGTTTGCACGGATTTCTCAACAGGATTAAACTGTTTTTTAGAAACACATAACTACCCATTACCAAGTTCAGAGGAATTTTTTTCAAAGTTAAATGGCAGAAGAATATTTTTAAAGCTGGATTTCTCTGAAGCATATTCACAAATTCAGATTAAAAATAAATGTTCATAATTAATGACCATAAATATGCACAAAGGATTATATAAGTTTAACTGACTTCCTTTTGGTATAAAGGTGGCATCAGCTATTTTTCAACAAGGTATGGATATCATGCTTGTGGATTGTGATTTCAATGGTGTACCTGGATGACATTTTAATCAAAAGTCTAAAGAACAACATGTTGGGCATATGAAAACAATTTTGGAAAAACTAAGAGAATATGGATTCAAGCTCAGTGAAGAAAAAACACAAATTGCTTTTGCTGAAAATTAAATACCTTGGTTAAATTATTGATAAAAATTGTCATCAACTAGACCCTTTGAGGGCAGGTGCAATTAAAAATAAGCCTCCATTAACAAACATGTCTATATTACAAGCTTTTCTAAGACTGGCTAATTACTATCAAATATATGTACATGATAAGCATAAGTTGAGAGCTCCACTGAATGATCCTACTTAAAAAAAGGAACTGGAATGATAACTGTCAAAAGGCAATTGATGAAATATAAAAAAAGAATTATATCAAATTTATCATTAGCACACTATGATCCAAAAGCAAAAATTTTAGCTGTGTCAGATGCTAGTGAGTATGGTATTAGAAGAGTGATTTTCCACAAATAAAATGGGAGTAAAATAAAATCTTTTGCTCATGCTTCACGCTCACTTTTATCAGCAGAAAAAAATTACAGCCAGATAGAGAAAGAGGCTCTAGTAATTATGTTTGGTGTGAAGAAATTTCATAAATTTATTCATGTAAGAAATTTTAGCTTGCAAACAAACCACAGAACTCTATTAACAATATATGGTTCAAGGAAAGGAATATCTATGCATACAGCTAATAGACTACAACACTGGAATACCATCTTATTAAACTATGTTTTACAATGGAGTACCAACCATTTAAAATATTTAGGACATGCAAATAGATTCTCAAGATTAATACCTAAAAATGTGGAACCATTTGAGAACATGGTCATTGCAGCACTAGAAAGTGAAATGGAAAAAAATTTTGTGCAACGTAGTATGAGAGTTAGCAGTTAACCTGGAAGAAATAAAAGAAAAAGTGGAAAATGACATTTTTATTGCAAAAATAAAAAAGCAATTGAAAGTAACAAAGAATGAAATCCAGACTTAAATGCTTACTTGCTATGCAACAGTGTAGTAATATTTAGGCGAAAGGTTGTAAAACCAAGTGTTACAGAAGTGAATACTGAAGGATTTCTATAGCAGACATCCTGGTATTTCAAGAAGTTTCATAATATTTTAGACCAAAATGGACCAAGATATTGAAAAAATTGTGAAAGCTTGCAGAGATTGTTCTCTAACAGCAAAACTACCTATCACAAAGATAAAATCTTGGCCAAAGACAGACATGCTGTGGTGAAGACTGAATATAGATTTGGCAGGTTCTATGAATGGATGACATTATCTTGTGGTATTTGATGACCAGAAATTTATAAGTGTAAAAAATGACAGTGAATTTCTTGCATGAACTGTTTGTAAGATATGGTATACCAGATACCATAGTTTCTGATAAGAGAATTCAATTCATAGATAAAGAATTCAAAGACTTTTGTAAGATGTTCTCCATTGAACATATTACAACCCCACTGTATCACCCAACGTCAAATGGACAAGTAGAACAGTTTGTGAGAATGTTCAAAAGAGCATTGAAGAAAGCAAGTCTTGAGAAAGTAAATGAGGAAGCACTTCAAAGAGTTTAATTTGTCACACCTAACCCCAATACACCATCACTGGCAGAATTAATGTTTGCTAGAAAAGTAAAATTGGTGTTTGTTAAGTTATTACCAAGTTAAAGAACACAAACAGATAACAAAAAAACACCAAAAGTTTCAAGGTCAGTGATAAAGTGTTCTTTAGAGTATATAAGAATGGCAAAGAAATGTGAGAAGATGGTATAATATCATCAAGAAAAAAAAAAAAAAAAAAAAAGGTTCATCACTAAAAGACCAGAAACTCTGGAAGAACCAATAAAAATGCTATATGATGTTTTCGACGTCCCATCACTACAACAATTTGGGAAACCTACAAGGACAAGTTCCAGAAAAAGAAAACATAGTAAAGAACTGGAAATGGAAACACTACAAAGTCAAGTACATTGGTGAACTCTCCAGAAAGAGGAGGGGGTAATATTACCCCCCCCCCCAAAAAAAAGATAAAGATAAAATAAAATGTTCATAAAAGTATTAATCTCAAAAGTATGTGTGTGCGTGTGTGTGGGGTGTTGAAGTAAATAGCATACCCCCAGTGACTATATGAACTAGTCCATAACTATAAATAAAAAGCTCCAGGTCAGAGGTAAGGAAAGAAGCCATTTGGAGTTAGTCTTCAGACTAATTAATACAGGCATCACAAAGCATTATTTATATTATAACCGCTACATTATACTAGTAGGTGATATTATTGCAGTTTCATAGAAGAAGAGTTGCTAACCCCATAACCAACCAGTTTGGAGGTTCTCTTCTGATAGGTTGTTTGCCAACCAAAGCTAGAAAGCCTAGTCCATCCTAATAATTTTACCCATAGTTTCAAGGAGAGAAAAGTTTGACTCATGCCTAAGTGAGCACAAAAGATTTTGGCAAAATTTGAACCCATCTTTAATTTTCTGAGTCAATAAGCATTATTCTATATGAACATTCAAACTTTAATGACAAATAAATTTGATAAAATAAATCAGTATCTCTGTAGTATAATGATGAAAACATGTTTATATAAATTAAATTCACTTTTCAACATAATCTCATTCCATGTTCAAATTCAGCACATAACTGCTATCATTGATTATTATTATCATTACTGATTCACCCTTTTATAGAAGTTTTATTAAAAATGACTGACAAGGTACTGCAGTTATTTTTTTTATTTAATTTAAACAAAAAAGTTAACTGCAGTACTTTGTCAGTCATTTTTAACAAAACTTCTATAAAAAGAGGGTTTGCTATATATATATATATATATATATATATATATATATATATAGTGGACAGAATTATTTGCTCCCAATGAATATTTACATATTTTTAAGAAATGCAAATATTTGCAAGTACTTACTGAATTTACCATAAATAGTTGATTTTGTATTTAATTTTGAATAATTTGTAAAATTTTGGGAAGTTTCAATCTTTTATATTCATAGTTACAGATTTTTCTAAAAAAATTGGCACAGTCCCAAATTATTTGTTCCACTTATGGAAATTAAGAAATAATATTGCATTATGGGAATTGTAATGTTTTTTTCCTTAAGTTAACATTTAATACAAACACCCTTTGAAAATAAAGTAGTATTGACCAAATTCTATAAAATTCTAAAAGGTAATAAAGAAGACAATACATGAGTGCCATGTACCATGATAACTTTGTTCTGCAACCATGGCGAAGATGACTCAAGAAGCTCCAAATGAAGATAGTTGATGCATACAAACAATGTGATGGATATATCAACACTTTCCAAGTGTTTAAATGTTCCTAGATCGACAATTCTTAGCATTATCAAGAAGTAGAATGTGACTCATTGTGTTGAGAATAAATTAAGGACTGACAGAAAACAGTTAATTTCTGAGATAATGGAAAAGAAAATTTCTCAAAGAATCCTCACTTAACACAAAGGATATTGTCAACAATGTAAAGACATCAGGGTTAAATGTATTGATGAAGAGAATCACTAGAAACTTTCATCAAGCAAGACTTCAAGTTTATCAGCCAAGGAAAACTCCTTTGTTTAAGACTAAACACTTAAAATGCAAATTAGCTTATGCTAGAAGACATCTAGAACATAGCAGTAAATATTGAAATTCTGTTTTATGGTCAGATGAAATCAAACTAGTATTATTCCATCAAATGCACACCCGTTATGTTTGAAGGAAAGTGAGTGAAGCTCACAAATCAAAAAATACCCTGCCCTACAATTAAGCACATTCATGGAAGCATTCTACTCTGGAAATGTTTTGCTGCTTCTAGACCAAGAGAACTAGTGAAAGTGCAGGGAATCATGAATAAAGAGCAGTATTTGGTTATTCTTAAAAATAATATAAAACAAAGTGAATAAAAGCTTTCAGACATCACTGGATGTTCCAGCATGACACTGATCCAAAATATATGGCACAAATTGTTACAAAATACTTAGATGACAGCAAAATTAAGGTATTGACATACCCTGGCACAAAGTCCTAACTTAACCCCATATTAATTTTTCCAGGTATTTTCAGCATCCTTCTCTAGAACCACATTTCTGTTGCTTCAAGTCCCTTCATCTTTGAAGAGATTGTTCAGCATTCACTGCCATATAGTAGGACAGATATCACATGACAGTTCAGTACATTTTTCCTTTGTTTCTGACAAAGTTGTTTTTCTGTCACTTAATACTCAGCTTAACTTTTTGGAATGAATCTTTATCCCAATGTAGCTTTCTTTCCATGTCTGCTAACAACACTGTCATCTGCATATCTTATGCTGTTAAGATTGTGTCCACCAGAATTGCCTTGCTGCATAAGTTGAATAAGTCTGGTGAGAAGACATATCCTTGTCTTTATATTTTTGTATATCTGTTGATCTAATTTTCTATCCATGTCCTGGCAGTTTGTTGTCAGTATGTGAGTAACGACAAAGTTTTAGAGAAAATGGAAACAAAAAGGAAACTTATACTTGACATTAGAAAGAGATAGCTGAAATTTCTAGGGAACATGAGGAAAGAAGGCATGGAAAATCTGGTACTCACAGGACAGATTGAAGGCAAAAAGGCAAAAAGGACAGAGGAAAACAAGGCACAACATACTTAGTGAGCTTGAGTAAATGGATAGTGGAACAGTGTTTAGGAGAAATAACAAAAAGACCAAATTTATTAAGAGGTACAAAGAGCATGAAATTGTGGAAACCCAGAGGGGACACAGTACATAAAAAAGAAGATATAGTTTTCACTCTATATCATCAAGAGTCAAAATATTCAAATGTTTTCAAACTTTGCTAATATTATTTTAATGATGATAAAAAGAAAAAAAAGAGCCCAACAAACCTTTATGAATTTTGTAATTAATGGTTTGATTAATGCCTGTGTCTTTATCATAAGCATGTATTTCTGGTACAGTTTTCAAGCTAGTGTTGAGAAGATAGTAAGCCTGTAGAAAGACAAGAAAATAAATATTTAAATTAAGATAACTCATATGTATACCATCTTTATCATTTATCTTACTAGAAAATAAATACATTTTCCCAAACTTTATCAAGAAGAAAAGAAAAACAACTGTTTTTTATATCTTGAAGATCAGGAAGAAAGCTAATAGGTTAAGGTAACTGGTATCTACACTCCACCAAAATGACTCCTAGATGACACCAGAATCAAACAGGTACATTTAATGATGAATGTGGTACTTCATTATCAAAATTTTAGACAACAAAGTTCCATTATTTTTTAATGTCAATGTGCCTTTGATGAGTTGAGCTGACATCTTGTTTGCCAATTGATCATTAAGTGATCCCTGAACTGAATGAAACATATGCATGTTATATAGTAAACAAAAAAGTATATAGCTTTTGAGGACATTGTGGTTACTAATACAGAAAAAAGAATTAGCAAACCAAAATCAAATTTCAACTGATGATACTTATGTTTATGTTATACTAATGCATTTGATAAAGGCATGAACTACATCTCTCTTTATTCTGTCTAACTACCAGAAATCTTTGCAAAATATTTTTTCATTGGCATGTCATGGTGTTTAACAAAGAGTGGCTGCATGAACATTTAGACAAGCCAAACCATAATAAGTTAGATGGTAGTAACAAAAAGCTGTTACCTCAGTCAAATTTGAAAAGATTCAAATCGATCATGCAAGTATATTTGTGAAAATGATTTCTAATTTAATTTTTCCGGATAAGTACATTTGAGAAAATGATTAAGAAAAAAAAAAACAAATAATAATGAATTAATGAATGTTAGTTTAAGGTACATTATAAACAAATCTTATAGAGATCTTAAAAAAAAAAAAATTATATGAACACAGAAGGTATCTTTTGCAAGACAACACATTCCCTGCATTAGTTGTTCACTGTAATAATTTTGACTTTGATTTAAAAAAAGTCACTTTAATTAAAAGAGAAAGCAATTTACTATAATAAAAGTATATAGAATATGCTTTAATTACAAAATCATTTACAGTAAATTTGCAAAAGAATAAAAAATATAAACAAAAATAAAGTAAATTATATTGACTAAATCATATATACAATCTCATTAAAATCATTTTAATTTAAAATTTTGAAATTTCAGGGTCCCCTCTTCTTCATGTGGATGTGTAGTTAGTAGTCCAATGAAGGACGAAATGCGTCAGATGAAAATTTTTCTACTTTGTCATTAATTTTCCTATGATAGGACTATATAATATTTGTTTATATAAATCCATTTCACTAATAAAATTATGCTCTTTACCAAATTTTAAGTCGTTTTTATGAGAGTAGTTATAAATTACTAGTTTTTATGAGAATAGTTTTACAATGATGACTAGTTTTATAAGACTAGTTATGAAATGATTAGTGGCAATTTGCAAAAACGACAAAGGATTTTAATGATTAGTAAACATTTTTAAAATGATTTTGCAAGATAAATGTTAAAAATAGAAATATTAATAAAATGTTCTAAATGCAAGCATGTAAAATATGCTTACCTCTTCAGGCACAGAGAGCTGATATTTTAAAGATGTGAATACTGGTGGCAAGTTGTCATTGTCCAGGACTTGAATATTCAATAACATGAAACCAAAAAACTCCCCATCCTACAACAAAAAGATATAGTATTATAATAAATGTAACACAATATCCTAATTCTCTGCTTATTTATTTCATTTGATTTTTAATGTTAAATATAGTTTTATTAAGTAATATATAATTTCAAAAACACTTTTAAAACAATAATATGCAATAGTGAAAAAGGTTGTTCACTAAACCAAAGTCTGCAACAAATTACAGGAAAGTGATATTAGCAACTTCTATGGGAATTTGTTTAAATCATTTGTATAAAAAAAAACTAACTAATACAATGAGAGAAAGAATTATTAATAAGTTAATATCTTGTTTGAAAACTGAATAAAAGTTTGATGCGAATGATGAAGAGCTTGAACTTTTGAAAATTCTAAGATGAAATAATGTCATTATTTAATGAAGGCTTCAGATTAGAATCCACTGCACACTTTTATGTGCCTCATCATTAATCCAAAACATCATAGAATAATCACAATATTTTAGCTCAGAAATCTGGATAATAAAACTGGAAAGCCTATCTTCCAAAATCATGTAACAAAAACAAAGATCATAATCCAAACAATTTATGGAATAGTAATTATACTTTGTCTAAGAACTTAAAAAAAAAAAAGCAGGAGAATATTGGTCATTGTATCAGCTGAAATGTTATCATAAAAACAACAATAATACTATTCTTGAAAAAGCATCTCTTTTTCTACTTAACTGCCATGATTATATACATACCTGCATAGACAATAACATTCAATAAGAAAGAAAGTTTAAAAAAAATCAAAAATTCCCATTTCTACAAAGTTGATTCTAATAAAAAAATATAGTAAATATTCTTGTTCTACATTATTGTAAATTTGCATTAAAAAATGAAGCCAGGATAAAGTTATAGAACAAAAATTGTTTATTACAAAAAAAAAATAAAATAAAAAGATAAGGATGGTATGCAAAATTAGTGAACATAGACTGCCATTTACCTTTATGGGTGATTTCTTTAACAAAAAAAAACAAAAAAAACAAAATGTAAAAGTTCTCATGGCAGCATGGCATGTAAGAAAATATTCTTTATTTACCTGAAGCATTATTGTTACCACAAAGCTAATAAATCTTTTAGAGGACAAGTTTGTCACCCTAAAAACTTGAGGGGTGATAATTTCTGCTATTACAAAAGTAGTAATTATATATAACAGTGTAATTTCTTTAAATTTCTTAAATTTAATGATGATACTGGTTCTTTTAAGTAAAACACCAGGGTGGCCAGGTAAAAACAATTCCTTGGCAGAATCAGGCAACTCAAAAGATTCTCCATGATGGACTGTTTTGACATAACAGCAAGTATTGCCTGTCAGATAACTTAAGAATTTTAGATAAAAATGCCCAAGTAGACAACGTCTTGTCATTTATGTGAAGCATGGTTTCCTACTGTCAAGCACCTCCCCCTCCATCAGCAAGAATGAAAAAGGTAGACTATCTTATGAAAATGGGCACATTGTCTGGAACATTTAAAATTGAGTGTTCTTCCTTAATGAAAGTTAGATTTGATTGGCTGTGACAGTAAGCAATATATATCAGACAGCATAAAGGTGAGAGATTGCTACCCAAATGTGCGAAAAACAAAAACAGTTAAATTTATGTGTATAGCATATTCGTGTTGGTTTTGACCTACTCATTCAATTATAGGTCAAAGTAATTTCTGTAGTGTATAAGAATTGAACAGCATAGTGTTCCTTTTCTGAGACATTTCTCATGTCCCTGCATAACATTTTTAGGTAGGATAATGTTCCTTGTTATACTGTAAAAACAGTAAAACAATTCTTTGAAGTTGAAAACATCAAAGTCAAGTCATCGTTTTTCCAAAGTCCAGGTTTCAATCCAACTATAAATCTTTGAAAGATCATTGGCAACATCATAGAGTAAGGAATTCAATAACAGTAACAGATTTATGACAGAAAGTGCAGAAGGAGTAGAACAAAAATCATGCTTTAAATATGTGACAAATTAGTGAAGTCCTCTAGTTGGAGATGTATGGAATTAATTAAAGGCTATGGCTTATACACAACTTAATATTCTGTATTAAGTTAGTAATATTATTAATTTACATGTGTATTTAAAAAAAATGTTCTTTGATTTTAGATAATAAAATCTTTTTATAATAAACATTCTATAACTTTTTTTACCTATGATTGTTTACCAGTGGAGAACAAAAATATTTAGTGCAAGTGTTTGTCATCTAATCTGTAAAAATGGGAATCTTTTTTATTTTTCAACTTTTGTTTTCTGATATTGGATATATATATATATATATATATATATAGCACATGTGAGAGAGTGATAACCTTTTCATCTGAATACATTCATGAATTTCTAACTGACATTTGGACAATGACAGAGAAATAAATTTGAACAAAAACTTACCGTAGCACTTATATTGAGAATATACAAGTTCTTAATGATATAATCAAGCTTTTTCTTCAGTTGAATAACACCATTTTGGGAATCAGTTATCTCAAAGGTCTTATTCACATCATTCTAAAGTAAAAATAAAAAAGGAACTGACATAGTAAATCATAATGGCTATCAATTTAGAAAACAATCACAATATTGTATGAGTCATTATTTCATTTTCCTTTATTCTGATTTGTCAATAATTAACTTCTGTATAAATGTATAAAAAAAAAAAAAAAATGGTTAATCTGAGAAAATAATCAGTTTAACAATTTGATGAGGGGAAGAATTTTGACTTGATTCATTTTAATAACATTATTTTGATAATTGTATTATTTCAGACTTGGTTGATATATAGATGTTGTTATAAACACAATGTTTCAACCAAGTACCCTCTGGTCATCATTAGGTATCCATGTTTTTCTGATATAACTGATTATTGTGTTATGTGCTATTTTGTTTCTATGATGTCAGTTATTGTTTGTTCTAATGCTTTACTACCCAATCTAGGGATAGAACTTATGACTACTAGAGGGCAGTAACACATGTATAACCAATTTCTATACACATATCATTTTTATTTATTAGTATATCTGTAGTCATTAAATATTCACTTAATCTATAGGGTAAACCAGTCTCAATCCACAAGGGTTGATGACCACACCCAAATAAGCCATAATAGTAGATGTAATTTGAAAAGTAGAGGGCAGTGGTGAAACTATACAAAATACTGACCCACCCACCACCAAGTTTTCAGCAAATTAATAATCTAGATGTTAAGAACAAGAAAATGTTATTAAGTTACCAGATTAGGAAAATCTGTCAGAAGACAATTTCTGCCAGACAATGATGTTAAATAACAGACCAAGAGATTGTGTGAGAATATGTCCCCAGTTTTTTTATTGGATGAAAAAGAAAAAAAAGCTACCATTTAAGAGGATCATCATGTTGAAAATGTAAGGTCATTATGAGAGTCATGGAAGACAAAATTATTAAATAAGCCTACAAGTATAGAAAATTGTTCTTGTTTTTTCCATATAACTGCAGACTACATATTTTTCTTGCATCTCCAACTTTCAAACTCTTGTCTTTATAACTCTGTTTATATTTTAAGTATCTGAACATATTAAAATTTTACAAAGTCTTATTCACACCACTTTTGGGTTTCATTAATTTCTCTTTTAGTCCAAGATTATTCTGTCATTGTTTCTGAAAAAGTTTTCCTTGGAAGCCACATGACAATATCATAAATTATGTTTTAGTAGTTTTCTTATTTTTGACTATTTTTTCATTTAATTCTTGGTATTTATCACAAAATTGCAGGTTGAATAATATTTAAGAAAGCAAAGTGAAAATAGTAAAAAGGTGGCAATAAGACTGTAGACTTGTGTCTTGTCTGACTGTAGATCTCTGTGGTTGGGTTAAGATGTTGTGCATGAAAGATGAGATTCCAGGATGAAGAATGCAAGTTCTGGTTTTGTTTGAAACTGTTTTAAATATTCTTCCTATGGGTAACTTATTTTAAGAGTTGAAAGGTATTCAATCTAAAAGTTGTAATGAAAAGCAAGAACAAGATGAAGAAAGGATGAGCAAAAAATGAATAATTGATCATAATTGTTGTGTTGTGGATTATTTTGATATATTCCTTGATGAGAGTTATTTACATTCAGTTTTGTGAAGACCCCATTACCTAGAAGTGCTGTATAACAGAAAAAACAAATTCTCTCTACCTTTCTGCCCTGGTGGCCACTTTTACTTTATACATAAAATGTGGTAAAAGGAAAATCAGTAGGAATTAATTTGTAATTTCAGAGTCACTGGCAGGAATTCAGTTTTTGGAATGATATATTTAGAGTAGAAAATTTGAAAAGTTATATAGAGCATTTTTAATTTTTGCTTTTCCTTTTTTCATTCTTCCAATGATGTAAAAGAAGATAGTAAATGAGATGCAATCTTATTGTCTATGGGTAGTGCTGAATATTATGCAAGCCTTTGAGGTTTAGCAGATAATAGATTGTCAGTTTATTGAACATTCACCCTATTCCAAATGAAATTCATGAACATTGTCTTTCCCATTCTCAAGATAAAAAAGGAATATGAAGACATTAGTCAATATGTTATTATGTTTAGAAAATACCCAAAAAGTGCAATTCTGTGGACAGATTTAATGAACATCTTATAGGCTGGAGGCAGGAACGAGGAATGAAAAATTCTGCAACAAATGCTCAGTGAAAGAAATCCCTCAAAATATCTGTAATAATTGAATCATCCACAAAATTTTGTAAAGATATTCAAAGAATGCAAGGACTGCCAAAAAATGAATCAGAATCCTATCATAGATTGCCAGAGAAATACAAATGCACCAGCTATCTTGCTGATAAGTATCCTTTTAAAAATGAGAGCTTCAAATGCACACATATCAGGCATATTCATCAAAAGTGTAGACAATATAGAAGTAAGCAATCTAGTAAAAGAGGAAAGATGACATGGAGATGATAGAGCTGTTAACAATTGACATGAAGCATTCATTGCCTGTGTAGGTCAAATTGTTTGTGTATAATTAGAGAGAGAACATAGTACTTTGTGCTTGGTGATAAATTTGAGGTAATTGAAGGAATTGCATGATTTGCAAGAGAAATTGGTGAGATTGAAAATGAGTCAGTGAAAGTGTGACGTGAGGTATTGCATGAAGTAAAAAAGAGTCATCTGCTGTTATTGGCTGTGAAAGGCGAGGTTCTCACATGGCTGAGTAGAAATTGGCTGCAGAAAGCGATATTAGATTGGAATACCAGTAAGGAGGAAATTTCATTGAAATTGAAGGTGATATTGGTTCATTTTGATTCTGTGTTTAGCAATGAGTCAGGACATTTAAAGGATGTTAAGGTGAAGTTACCAATTGGTAAGACAGCAATATGATGACTTTATAGAGCTCTTCCAATACCTTATTCACTAAAGGACAGAAATGAGAAGGGACTTTATCAACTATAGAAACTAGGTATCATTAAAAGGGTTGAATATTCTCGCTGGGATACACCTGCTGTACTGAATCTATTTGCATGGAGACTAAAATAAGACCATAAACATGTTTTCACCTTGCGACACATATTTTATACAATGTATTAAGGACTTAATTGCTACCTTCAAAGGAGAAAAAAAGAAATTTAGTAAGCTTTATTTGAGCCATGCATATCAGCAACTCAAGTTAGACAAAAAAAAAAATACACAAGAGCTGCTCACCATTAATACTCATCGTGGTCTGTATCAACCCACTTGCTTGCAATTTGGAGTGTATAGTGCCACAAGGAACTTTCAACATGAAATGGATGAACAATTGAAGAATATTCCTTTCTGTGAAGTGTAGATAGATGATTTTTGGTTTCAGGAATTGGTGATACAAGTCACCAGAAAGTATTTTCTGTATTGAACAAGTTAGAACTTCAACTGAAAAAAGACCAAGTGTCATTTCCTTCTTCCAGAGGTGACCTATTTGGGCCTTAGAATCAGCAAGGAAAGAATAGCTCCTTTTCCAGAGAAAGTTGCTGTAATGGAAAAGCCTCCTACTCCCAAGGACAGTATAGACATAAAAGTTTTTCTTGAATGAACTTTGAATAATCATCATTTAGCCAATTTATCAATTGTTACTGAGCCACTACACTGTTAAAGAAGGAGAAACCCTGTGTGAATGGGAGAGCATATCAGAAAAAGGGTTTCTATGATACAAAGAAAACATTTTCTGTGCCTTTGTTGACATGATGATCATTCAATCATATGATTCTCTCTCTGAAACAGGAACAGTAATGGATCATAAAATGGATAATGGGAGAGAAAAGCTGTTTTTTTAGCTTTTATGTACATTGTTGGCTGAACAGATAAATTATGCCTACATTGAAAAGAAAGGACAAGCACTTTTTTTCCTATAAAAATATTTCATCAGAATCTGTATAGCAATTTTTAAAACTTTACATAGACTATAAACCACTCCCAAGACTGTTTACCAAAAACAGAACTTTTACTGCTTCCAGAGTACAATATTTCCAGTTGCATTAACTACAAATTAGAGTATTGTGTTGGCTTTTCCAACAGCAATGTTGATTACCTTAATCCTATTCTTATGAATGGCTTAGCCAAGTACTGTTCAGTTTCATAGTTCATATAATGGATTTGGTTAATTCCTCTGACTATAGCTGAAAAATATTGAAAAACTAACAAATCCTGTAACAAGAAGGGTATAAAAGCTGACTATGAATGGCTGGGGAAATATTGATGCAGTTGCTGAATTATGCCATACATTATCAAGCAAGAAGAACTGAATTGTGAGGCTGGTGTGATACTCTGGGCAGGTAGATTCATCCTCCCATATACAGGTTGAAGTTGTTGAAAGGAGGTTCATCAGATTCATGTGAGAATAGCAAGTATAAAAGCTCTTGCTCAATGCTGTCTGGTGGCCAAACCTGGATGCTGTTATTGAAATGATATAAAAAGGTTCATGAAGTATGAATTCAGGATCAGAGAAGGTCTAAAAGTAAAAAAAAAGCTCCAATTCATGGCTGAGAATATCTCAGTTAGCCATGCAGATTTTGTTGATCTGTCGTTATTGATACATGAAGTGGAATCAAATAGTCAAATTAGAGAATAATTTTGTTCCCAAGAGACAGTTCTTTTGTGACTCTTGAAAGACAGAGGGATGCATTCTGGCTTTCACCCTATGAATAAAAGAGACAATATAGTGTGAAGAGTCTGGTGTAGAGAGGTGGCACTGTAGACTTCATTGACTGGCTGGAGGGTATAAAAAGTAATAATAAGACAAAAAAGTACTATCCAAAAATGAATTAAAATACTTCTATTCCTTATTCAAATTATTTCTGACAGCTTCATTAAATCAAGTTATATTAATTATTAATATCAACCCTCTTATCCACAGTGTGATAAGCAAAGGTTTTGTCATGCAAAATTAAAATACTGAGAAAGTCATTAATTATGACCATGTATAATGCTATCAAATAATTAATGTTCTTAAAATCAATCAGTCCCAGAAACTTTATTAAAATTAATTAAAAAGATAATTTGAAGTCAATAAATTCTGTGTTAATTTTTTATCAAGGAAATTTCTTTATAACAATGAACTTTGAACAATGTAAATTGTTTCAATTTATAAAATCAATTCATAATGTTGTCAGGCATTTTTGTTAATCTAAAAGACCCTATCTCAAAGCAACCACAATAAGTGACTTCCTCTGTACAAATAATTGTTAAGCAAAGAAAACACATTACTAAATCAAGTAAATAAAGTCATAAAACATCTGAATACCGTATGACCTTACCTGAATAGCATATCTTATTGTCACATTATTTTTAGGATAAATATCTTTGTCTGTTGCTTCAAAGCTGTTGCCTTTGAAAGTGTAAACTGAGGTATTGACTGCTGTGTTCTGAAATTGAAAGAAAATACAGGTTTTGTTTTCTTTTTCTTGTTATTCATAATATTCTAGAATCTTAGATATTAGCTTGGTAAAAAATAAATTTTATAAGCTTATATATATATATAGGTATATCAATAAGTTTGTAGCATAACAGATTTATTTTTCAACATCATCTCCCTTCTTGTCAATATACTTAATTTGTGAAAATTGATCACATAGAATTGAATATTTTACCATTGAAAATTTCAGATCAAACTTCAGCTAATTAGTACATGTCAGGCCTTATTGATGCATGGTTGTATTTTATATACCAAATATTTATTTTTCAACAATATCCTTTGTCTCTGCACTTAATCCAATGCTTCTCTATAGATCATATAAATAAATAATTATACCGTGAAAATATCAAATGAAAACCTGTGCTAGACTAACCCTAATAAATGATGATATTCATACAAACTGAATAACTAATCACTAATTGTAAGGTGATACTGAAAAGTTCACATACAGACCAAGTCTTGCTAGAAAATCTTTAGTATTTGGTCAGATTTTGGGAAGTGGGTTGAGCTGAGAACTTTTCAACAACACCTTGTATAATGTTTTTATTTTTTTTAGTACTGTTAGGAAGTTTGAAAAAAAATTATTTTTCCTATTATTTATTTTCAAATACCTGCATGATTGTTTTTTGTATGCTTTTGCCCAAATAAAAAATTCATTAGTTTTAGTATCATTTTTATTTTCAAATTCTCTTCTACTGAAGTTTAAAGATCATCTAAAATATAATGTTGCATATAATAAGCCTATGAAGTAATACTTGCATTAATTCCTGACTTATTCATTTTTTTTAAGTACATGTAGATTGAAGGCTGAAACTTGTTAAAAAAAAAAAAAAAAAAGAAAAAAAAAAAAGATTTTTTTCCCCTTACTATCAGAAATATTTAGTTTCTCCATGCAGGAAAATTACTATAGGAAATGACTAGAAAAACTCAAACCCTATTTTTGTAGACCTTCAAATGGTGCTAAAATATAAATGATTGTTAATTTTTCCTTCAACTGCCAGAATTTACTGTGTCACTATGTAATTGTGAGAGTGAATGAAAGTTGACAAATATTCATAATAAATCCTACCTGTGATATCATGGGTTACAAAACCAGATTCTCCTCAAAATAAAAATATATAACCACTTACTTCTGGAGTAAATATGAGCAGGCTTTTGTTTGGAAATCCAGGCGGAAATTCATTTACTCCATCCACAAAAATAAAGTAATTCAAGGGCGGGTGATGCTAGAAGCCAAACAAAAAATAGATAATGTCAAAGAATAAGGAATGCTGTTATTTGATATGAATATGTAATATTTGACATGAAATTACAAAGGGGGAGAAAAAGGATTTTTCTAAAATATAAATTCTGAAAGTTTTGAATTATTCAAGTCAATGAACAACCTTCTCCAGCATTTTTGACAAACATATACTGACACATTTTAACTTATATACAATTTATCATTAATCAATAAATGATAATAGATTAAAAATTTTTTAAAAGTTTGTCTTTATGGCAGAGAATTTATGATAAAGATTAGGGTGTATGAGTTCTGATTTTTGTTTCTTTATTGACCTTCCTTAATTGAATGCACAAATGCATTTAACATCTGTTACTCTTAGTCTCACAGACATGCATACAATAAAACATGCTGGCCTGGTTTCAAGTTTGTTTTACATAATCAAAAACTTAACTTTTTCTTTTTTTATAAAACATTGTGTTTTTCTTTCACATCATGGTTTTGTGAAATGCTTACTCACACACATTTTAAATATAATTTGTTTCTGGGTCATATTTCTAACATGGAATCAATGACTCATTTTAGCAAAGTTAAAATTGCTTAAGAATACTTGCAGAAATTTAATCAAGTTCTTCAATCTTTCTTAAGGTAATGTTGTCATTGTAATTGGTGAAATAAAGTAAGCAAATATTATCTAGGTGATAAACATAAGTATAAAAAATAAGGTATAAAGTCTTCAATTATAGAAACCCACTAATTTTTTAAAAGCAAATGTTGACAAGTTTCAACTTTTCTACAATTTCTCATGAAACAAAGAAGTGATAATATATGACATTGTGACTTGGATACCTACATGAAATGGGATGGTGTGTGATTTTATCTCAGTCTCAAGTGTTTTATAATAACCAATAAAGTCTGTGAAGTGGTGTTTTCAAAGCAGCCACCCACTTGACCAAAAGAAAATAAAATAATAGATGAATAAATGAAAACTTTGGATACAAGTGACAACAAACTGAACATTGAGAATTTCCAGTAGCTAGAACATTTCATTTTTTTCCCCACCCCTTTTTTATTGATGCTTCTTTGATGTAACACATGTTTGGTGACAGATTTCTATAATTTGAGACCCTTAGGTTTATTTTTTATAAATATTTTCTGTTTCACATCACTATTACACAAAACAATTTCTGGTACGCAATGAAATCTCTTTAGATAAGCTTATTTTGCAAGGTTGCATATTTACAATGTTGAGCTAATGTCATTTTACCAAAATAACTGTATTCAATATTATAACTTAATCATGAATAATAGCAGTTTTATGAATTGTATTCCTTGTAACTAAAAGCAAATATTTAATAGGAAAAAAATGACAACTTGTCATAGAAGAGTGATTATTTTAAGTATCATTCATAAAACTTTATTCACTACTGAAAAAAGTTTTATATGTCTGTAAAAATATGTAAGAAAAAATTGACTTAAAAATGGTTCTACTTATATATTTAATAGTTATAAATTTTCATTTTTAAAGTATTTACCACATAGGAGCAGCTGATAAAATATTGTTCTGGAGCATGTAGTGAATTGGATAGGGATTCAAGACAATCCTTAGATGGTGATGAAAGCAAGAAAAGTAATAATTGTCCTGGAGTGGCTGAGAAGAAATTTTGCCACTATGACATCACACAGAAATACACAAATTGAAACTGGTTAATCTCAGTTTGGCTAGCATAAAGCTACATTCTAAAGAAATCTGTTAATTAAAATATTTTAGTTGAAATAAAGTAATTTCTGTCAAACTTCTTAAAAAGTATTATATTTTAGTTGAAATATACTGAAAAATGATGAAAAAGGAAAAACTTACAGTGTTGTTATAAGTACACATCATTTTGAATTTATAAGTTTTCAGTGTCTGTAAAAAAGAAAAGAAAAAAAGCAGAAGATATAAAGATTATTGTTGGGATTAAGAAAAAAATTGCAAACATTTGGGTCACTAAAAAAACATATTCCCACCACCAGCACCTCATAGGTTTACAATTGTATCATTATATTCTTATAATTTTTTTAATTCAGTATTGTTGGGGAGTAGATAATGGATATCAGTATGGAAAATAAGAATTGTCAATCCAAGATCAAATTCCATAATAATCAGAGATGCTATCAACAAAGGGTCTTTATATTTCTCATGATGCCTTGTGTGTAATTGTGCATACATACATTCATATGGATGTAAACTTCTGCATAAAAATGACATTTTCTTGACCAAAAATTATGCAATTATTCCAAATAATAATTTAAATATAATTTCTCATATTCAAAAGGAAAAAAAATCAAATCAGCTTCATAACAGATGTATATTTATAAAATCTCCTGTTGCCTAAAGAAAAGAAAAAAATAATTCTTTTTTTATTTGTAACATACCATCAAAATTATTATTCAGATTAAAACCAACTTTTTACTAATTAAACTTTTGTTATAATGAGTATTTGGTTGCAAAGGAAAGGAACAAACAAGGTTTAAATTTTCAACAGTGTGTATTCATCAAAATTTGGCATACAGAGTGCGATGGATAAAATTTTTGTCTAAATTATGCAAAAATGAAAATAATACTGACATCTTATTTTAACATATATATTTACCAAAATTATGCAAAAATATCTTGAAATACTAAAGAGTAAATTTATACCAAAAAAAAAAAAAAAAAAAAAAAAAAAAAAAATCAACATTGTCTTCAACTACAGAACTTCAGACAAGTTTGGAATCTCCTGCAATTTTTCTGGACAGTTTCTTTGTTTACGTTGGTGAATGCTGCTATGATCCTTGCCTTCAGTTTATCTTTGGTGTTACAATGAGTTTTGTTAGTCTCTCACTCAACTGCACCCCACACATAATAATTAACAGGGTTGCAGTCTGGGGAGCTAAGGGGCCAGATGTAAGGGGCGATGCAGTCACAGAAATTGCCCGATAGCCATGACTGGGTTCTCCTGCTTGGGTGACATGGTGCAGAGTCCTGTTGCCAGACATATGGTCTTCTATCAGCCACCCTCTTGACCCAGAGGTAGCACAACCTCCTCAAGACCGCCAACAAATTTGGGAGTTCTTTTCTCATCAGAAGGATCAGAGTGAGTTTTTCAACTTGTCATACTTTCATAATCACTATTAGACTCATCCAACTCTTTCAGAATCCTTCACACTGACCTCAGATTGACACCCAAACACTCTGAAACATTTGTATTGGAGCTTCCAGTGTGAATGCCAAGCAGTACAGCAGGCTGTTTCCAAATTTCTGGCAGAGTGAATTGTGTCATTGTGCTCTTTTTCTTATAGACAGTGCCCAACTGACCTTATTATACTGCGCAGTCAACAAAATCAAAAACAAACATGCATCTGTGAAATTGAGAATATAAAATGACAACAATTTACCCATTGTACCATGTATATACATCATTACTTGAATTTGGTAAAAATTGTTCATGTGTCATTCTTCAGTTGCTGTTGGCAAGAAAAGTGATTAGATGTAAGGGTGTTATCAGTAGGGCAGGGAGTTGACTGCTTTCTTGGGTTAGTTGGCCGAGGTCACAGTTGGGGGTAGGTCAGGAGTATATTAGCCTTTGACAAATGTCCTTCATTGGTTGAAATCTACACCTGTGAGGTATTTGGTGGGCTGGCAGTCATGTGATGCTGAGATGTTCAAGCCAAACCACCTGGTAAAGTGGGTTGGTCAGTAGAGGTTACAGTGGTGGTGGCATTGGGAGCCTGGCAGTGTCAAAGCTGGCCCCTCAGCTGCGATCATGTTAGTGACAGCAACAGTGTACATGCATGCCAATGTGTTGCCTTTTGGCCTGCAACTTTGTTGGCTGTTACAAGGTGCTTTCTTTTATGCAAATCTTTTTTGTGGACTTGATGTAATGCTCAGAGCCCCTTTACAGAAAACAACATTTTTTTTTATTTTTTGTTTTGCTTTCTTAGCGTTCACATCCTGCCAACATGTAAAGTGAATCAGAAAGATCCAATTGCAGTAGAGTATAACACTTTGCAGTAATAAAACAGTAAAAAGGTTTTAATATGAATATTAACGTTGATTGTATTTTACAAATATGAAAAAAAAAATGATGATTATAATAATTCTTTAACTACTTAGTAGCAGTTGGACTGCTATTTGGGCTGTTAGGAAAACTTGATTTATTTAGAAAAGAATAAATTCAGAACATTTACTGAGAGAAAATTGCTTGTAAACAGAGAAGAAATGAATTGAGTAAGTAAACAAAAATAGAAAGAAGTATAAGACAAGGATGAATCTTCTCTTCACTGGATTTATTTAACCAGTACAGTGAGATGATCTTTAGAGAGCTAGAGATTTCATTTGGATTTATTAATAGTGGATACAATCTCAACAATATAATTTATGCAGATGACACTATATTGATTACAGATATAGAAAATAAGCTATAAGCACATCGAGACAAGGTAGTAAAGTGGAAAGAAAAGACTAAAAAAATTCTAAGACAGAATGTACGGTTATTAACAAAAGGGACAGCCCAAGATCCAAGCTTCAAACTGCAGATATCAAAATAAGGCAAGTACAGAAGTCTAATACTCTGGAAAATGTTATAAATGATGGTGAAAAATATGACACAGAAATCTGAAGGTGCATTGGAATAGTAAATGTTGTCATTCAGAAAGTAAGAAAAATATTAAGAAACAGGAAAACTTCATTGAAAACAAAGATGACTGTGTTCAACTGTTATGCAATATCAATCTTCCTATATGGCAGTGAATGCTGGACAATTTCCTCACAGATGAAGAGCTGACTTGAGGCTATGGAGATATGTTTCTACAAAATACACAGAATTTTTCATTAGAGGAAAATACTGATAGAAAATGAAGTTCATTATATCCTGGTGGAGTGACTTAGAGAAATGTGTAAAATGTCCATTAAGACATAGAAAATGCAGGGTGACTTGACAAACCCAATCATTTTGTTATTGGTTGCTTTTCTTTAGTGGCATATCAACTTCTATGGGTTATTTAATGCTGATATCTAAACATTTTAGATGCAATTTTAATTGGGGGGGGGATAATGGTTTTAGTGACACAAATGTTACTAATTAACCCATAGATGAATGTGGAGAAGAGGTGGATTCATACCTTGCCCAGGGGCATTTGTGTGTAAGTGAATATAACAAATGCAACAGAAATTGGATCTCAGCTCTCCAACTAACAATTTTGGAGCCACTGTCCAGTAGACCATCCACACATCCAAGCTTACAGCACCTAGTATTCCCAAGTGGTCACCCATCTGGGTACTGACCAGGTTTCATGTTGCTTAACTTCAGAGATCATATGGGAATCAGTGTTTCAATATGATGTGGACATAAATATCATATTTCTCCTTAGGGAGGAATATGACATTTTTCAGCAGATAAAAAAAAAGCCTGAGACATAAAATATTAAATGAATAAATAACACATTTTCAATCAATTAAAAATTAGATTATCAATTCTAAGACAGAACTTCTCAGATGGGAAAACTTTAGATTGAAGATCTCATGGTTCCTGAGTCAATCAAGGTTTTGGTGTCAACCTAGAAAAATATTTTAATGCTGAGATGAATTTAAACCTACTTTCTAAAACATTGAATATTGCTGCTGTTTTAAATTAAGCAAGCTCACATCAACAGCTTATGTCAACAGAATTTGCCTCAGAATAATAAACAGGGAAATGGGTTTAAACAAATAGACTTTTAACCAAGTAGATATTTATATATACAATAATTTTATGATAATAAAGCTAAAGTAAAATAATTACATTTGCAAAACTTACATTATTCTTTTCAAAATCAAAATCGATTTTTGAATAAAGGTTGTTGTTGATTATTTCAAATTTATCCTTTCCACTGTGAAGTGCCATTTGTACATCTGAAGGGAAAGTAGTAATTTTGTCTCCTAGAAATAAATCAAAATAAAAAAAAAACAGTGATTTGTGAATAATCTCATTGCCATTTAGAACTGAATAAAATATCCTTCTTGCAAGGATTACAAAGAATGACTGATCTAAGCAGTAAAAAGCTGTCAAATTTTAGACTCTAGTTTAAAAAGATAAAACAAGTTTGAAAGATACAGGAAATAAGGACTCTGGAGTTTTTCTTAAAAAAATGAAGAAACTTTGATATGTTAAACATATTTGACATTTACCAAGTTTAGTTTCAGATGGCACACCAGAAAGTACGAGACAGAAAAATGATGTTGTGATCTTCTTCTATGTAAAGGAGAGCCTATCTATAAGCTTAAAAGAAAAAAAAAAAAAACAGCATTTGAAATATTGGCTTTTAAAACAGTGGAAAATCCACAACTAGATTAACAACAAGTTTTATTAAAACAAAGATTGTATTTATCTGCTTTTTCATGAGGACAAATATGACAAGGCCAGATTTTAATTAGGGCCCTACAAATGTACATGTGGGTAAAGGTAAAAAAATTGACTAGTTAAGCATATATTTGATGTTACTCTGTTAATGCAATGAGGTGCTACTGCCTGGGAGATGTTGCCCCAGGAAAAACGCTCTAGACTCTAGATATTATGAGATATTTGAGTTAGTTTTCCTCAAAGAACAAATGAAAGGAAATTGATGTAGAAAAATTGTGTTGAACTAATTCTTTATTTCTAGCTGCCTGCCTTAAAAATTACAATTCAAACTGGCTTTACCTGACCACACATCAGTTTGTCTATCTGCTGTGTCCCATTATAGAAATAAATTTTTTTTTTTCCTCTGAGAGCATAATCTAACAGAGGAAGATTGTATTGCACCAATCTTTCAAAAAGTATAGGATGTTTATTTGAAAATTGGTATTTAATCTAATGGCTTTTATTGAAGCTTGAAAACTGACCACTGGCCCCAGTGGAAAATTATGCAGTTAACAGTTAAATTGATTTTATTGTGAATTGATTTTTTGTTAAATTTTACTAATGGGATTAATATTCCAAAATCAGTGGAATGAATATTGAGTCTATTAGAAATCAAGCCAATTGTAAGCAGTTTGACTTTTGTTACAAGTTTTTCTTCATATTGTGGTATTTTTTCTGGCAAATATTTGAAAAATTCAATTTGAAAAAAAAAGTGTTTTCAGCTGATTCGTCTCACATCAAAATCTAAACTGTCAATCTTTCAAATTTCCCTCCATTAAAACAAACGTTTTAATATAAATCTTTCATATTGGTTTTTGGCTTTTTGAAAAATAACAAAGCCACCCACTGACTTAACTGCTACTCTACCACTCTCCCACTTAGCTTTAGTAATTTTCTGAACTAACAAACTAAATACTTCTAGTGGTAGTGAAAATATGATTAATTGGCAGATTTTGCAGTTATCTACCTAAAATTAGTTTTATTAAGTTTAGGCACTAAGTTCATATATTGCATATTGAGAATTGAAAAATCAGGTATTGTCAGTCATCAAGAATTTAAGAAAGCGTTACTAACAGAATTGGCTTAATATTCATTTATAATTTTTTCCAGATAATTAATGTTCAAATACTTAGTTGGAGATGATTAAAATAATTTTCAGATACTATGCTTGCATTTTCTTTAATATGCACAAAATGATAAGCTTTGAGAGAAGAAATGTGCAAGATTCTCATTGATCATTTTGAAAGTAAATGAAGTGATGAAGGACACTGCCTGAAAATTTATATTTAAAGATTCTCATTGGAATAGTTTTCCTTTCACTTCTCATCTAATCAGTTTCTTCTGAACAGAAATGAAGATCTTCACATTAAAAGCATTTCTTATAGAATCCAAGCAGGAAACAAGTAGAGGTTTATTTGGTTTGGCATAAGGCCATATTTATGGAACACCTTGCAAAAAATTAATCTCTCTCTTAACAGTCAACAAATCTAACTTGCTAATTATGCTGACTTGTTTGGTGTCTTTTTTTTTTAAATAAGGAAAGTTGTCTTTTCATTAAAAACTCTTCATTTATTGACTTAGTTTTTATTTTCATTCTGCTGGAATAGAAATTGACAAAGCAACATTTTTTACCTTGACTTAGGGTTTCATTTACATTTACAGTGTTTTTTATATTGGAACAGTCTGAAAAGTAGAAAAAATAATGGCGTATTTGAAAAAGGATGGAAAAGTGAAGTATAAAGTAATAATGATAACTTTTTCTTAGTCTAGATTTTATTCATAAACAGAAACAGAGGTTAATACACTATATATATATATATATATATATATATATATATATATATATATATAATTATTTATTTAAAAACAAAAAGAAAAATTTATAACATAGATATGTTATAAAATCACTATATAAATAAAATGTAGATGGATGGATTCTCCTGTTGAGAATGACAGATGAGGGTTTAGTAAATTTTAAGATTTTATTGAATAACCTGCACAAGGAAACTGTTTAAAAAGTGGTCAATTTCCCATGCCCTGCAATGCATACTCTCTCTCCATCATAACACCATATCCTGTACTGATGCAATATGTGCCACATGTTAGATAATGTTAAAATGACAGGCATTTTTTTTAAATAGGAGTTTACTATCTAACTGCAACACAGACATACACACATATATATTTTATACAGCAAAAAATCCCAAATTTCTTCATGTGGGTATAGTCTATTTCGAACTAGCATTGCTATGTGCCAACTATCCTCAGCCCAAGATTATCTGGAAAATGGCTTTTCCAGACAGTCTTGGGCTGAGGATAGTTGGCACATAGCAATGCTAGTTTGAAATAGACTATACCCACATGAGGAAATTTGGGATTTTTTTGTTCTAAAAATTATGTTTGTTATAATAAATACATTGAGCTCTCTGTGGATCAGTTTTAATATCTGATATTACTAGGATTATATACCAACCGATCTAGTACTGGTACTATATATATATATATATATATATATATATATATATATATATATATATATAAATGTGTGTGTGCGCACACACAGTCAGTTTAACAAATTTTGGTTACTCTTATTTCACAGTGTACAATATACAATCCGCACCGCACTACACCATTTTTAAGATAAATTTAAAAAAAAATAAAAATAAAGAATAACAAAATATCAAGTGTAATCACAAAAAAAAAAAAAAAAATGTAGGAGAAGTCAATTGCTTAAATAAAGTTTATTTAATATCATAAGAATTTTAAAATACTGTTAACATTTGAAAGAAACAAAAAAGAGTAAGCAACGTTTTAGGTTGTTTTGTAAATAGTTTTTAAAAACAAAGGCAAAAACAACTGCACTGGAGTTAATAACAGTAACATTGAGACAGTGATATTTTTATAAAGACAATTGTAGTTTGCATATTCTGATACTTGAACATTTTCTGCAAAGTAGGCTTCAGAATTCAAATCTCTTAAATAAATGTTATTTGTAAACAATACTATTGTAGGGATGAAAAAGGCAATTATCTCCCTTTGGTTGAGATGGAGCCACGCTTAGTGACATTAGTTCATAGAGTGATGAAAGTGGTCAGTTTTTAGTTTGCACTCCTCAAGTAAAGACAAGTTTTTTTTTTGTTTTTTTTTAGCACAGGCAAAATCTGCTTGCTTAGGCCAACTGGTATGGGGCAGCATACAAGCCCATGACATTGTTTTCCTGTTGAGTAATATATCCTCACCAGATACATAGAAGATAAATCTGGCTAGCTTGAATTCTAGAAACTATTTATATAACTCAACTGTGAAGTCTATTTCAGACCAACAAGCAATGTATCATCAGAATGGAACATTTGTTCATTCTTGACTTTTAATAATTTGTGATTCTGGCTGACAAATTTCATTCTAAATTATTAAGAATAAAATATTCCTGAGTGGTTTTATAACACTTTTTTTTTTAAGGAATATTACTTTCTTTTAACTTAATAAGTTTAAAAATCAACTTTCATTAATTTATTGTTCATAACCATAATATTATATGAAAAAATGTTTTAAGGCTAGCTTAAGTAGATTTGATTTAAATTCTAAGAACATGAGTCAAACTTCTGCCAAAATTATCAATCTATTTTTCAAGGTTTATAACTGTTACAATTTTATAGTGTAGCCCGGATATAAGAGAGATTTTCTCTGGTCCCAAATTAGAGACTGTTAACCTAAACAAATTAGACCAAACCCGGATATAAGAAAAACCCGGATATAAGAGACTTCTTCTCCGGTCCCAGCAACTCTCTTATATCTGGTTATTTAATTTATAATCTTGACTTAAATAAATTTTGTGCTTCCTAACAAATCATTGACATGAACAAACTTTAACACAAAGCATAACATAACAAATTATGATTTTAATAACAGTACTTCACTAAAACTATTTCACTTCAAAATTATTTTTACTAGAAACTAACCAAATTAAAATGTTTCTTTATAAATATCCTTTTAATGTTTTTGACAAAGTTAAATAATAAATTAACTAGTCCTAATTATTTAGTCTAGATGACCGACAAAATATTACAAAAATAAAAACCATTTATTCATTCAAATTAAAAAAATATAGTAATTTTATTATAATTAAATAATTTAAAACATTACTTATTTGATTGCCAAACAAATATTTTTCTTAATTGTTTTTTCTAATAACATACATTCCCTATGCTATATAGATGGTTTGCAGCACAAATAGCCTGATATGTTTGATTACAAATCCTTAATAAATTATCTCATAAGGACAATGACTTTAAAATGGTATAACTTGACTTTCACTTTTTTTAGAGTTACTTCATAAATTGGATTTCTTGTTTGTTATGTCTGAAACTATAGAGCTTATGCAACTTCTGACCATCTCTGCAACTTCAATTGCAAACAAAAGAAACTTAACTTCGAGTGAAATTTGATCATTCTTAATGCCTTGAATGAGGCAAATTGTGAAGCACATTATTTGCTACTGGTTCCTTCCTCTGAAGAGGACTCAAGAGGGAATTGAAAGCTTGGGAGAAATAAAGTTCTGGAGAGCATCATAATATCCAATATGTGTGTGTGTGTGTGTATATATAACTTTTTGTATTGTTCTTCCATCTAAGGAGTTTTGCATCAGGATTAAAATTGTTAAACTATTCAAAGTTCATTTTTATACATTTGAGTACTTTCGACTGTTACTACAGCCATTATCAAGAATTGTGAGTGATCAGTATGTAAAGCAAGGTGTGTTTAACAATTCTAGTAATCTAAAAATACAAGAATTTCTCAAATACATCTTACTTAAAATACTGATCACTTGCAATTCTTGATGACAACTGTAATGACAGTATTCAGATGTATAAAAACCAGTTTTGGACATTTTTGCAATTATCCTGACTTAAAAATAATAATTTGGAAAAACAATACACTGTAATTTCTCGAAAAGAATATATACCCATAAGTAATACACACCCCAACAAATGATCCAAAAATTAAGAACTATATCTATCCCTATGTATAATACACATCTATAAATTTTCTCAAAATAAAAAATAATTATGAAGACATTTTGTTAACCTTGACATTAAGAATAAAATCAAAACTAAGCAGCAACAATAATGTTGAAAATTACCATGTGGTTTTCCCTGATGAATATAACATTTTATTTTACTGCCAAAATGTCTTCAAAACGTGCAAGTTATAGTGCAAATTTTAAACAAAAAGTAATAGAATTAGCAGAAAGAATAAGAAACAGAGCTGCAGCCAGAGAATATGACTTGAATGAGGATAAAATACATTTATGGAGAAAGAATAAAAATGAACTAAAAGAAGTGTAAATCAAGTTCCAAAGCTATAGGTAGAGGAAGATATTGATTCTATAATAGAAAGTGGTGGTGATGATGATGAAAATTAAAATTTCTATAAATTGTTAACTTGATATCCTCTTTTCTTTGAAATTGGCCTTTTTATAGATTTTTTTATTTTTTTCATCAGATTTTTTTGTGGTTACTGATAAACATAAATTTATTGACAAAAAGATGTTACAATTATTATTGTTGGATTTAAAATGAAAATTGGGATAATATTTTTCTTATTTTAGAACAACAAGTACATATTTATTATTGTAAATCAATAATGAAAAAATATTTTTATTTAAATCTACTTATAATACACACCCCTACTATCACCTGTAATTTACAGTAAAAAAAAAAATGCATATAATTTTCAAAAAATTACAGTAAGTGTTAAATAGACACACCTTGTCAGTGTCATTCAATAACATTTATTTAGATTAATTTTTGCTGTGTAAATAAAAAGACCATTAATATATATATATATATATATATATATATATATATATATATATATATAGAGAGAGAGAGAGAGAGGACTAATATTGGGTAACTGAATGACAAAATAGAAAAAGCTCCTATATTACAACAAAGATCACAGATATTACTATGATTGTTACAATATCTACAACCTTTGTTATCAACAAGAAAAGTTAGCTATAATAATATTTCCAGAAAAATCTTTTGAATGAGAGATCAGAAATAATGACCTGTTGTATACATACTAAAAATTCCTTTTCAGTTCATATGAACTAGGATGAAAAGAGAGTATGTATATTTCATTTAACCCCCTCCACCGATACATTTCCAATACAACTGCTTTTCTCCTTCTCTCCCCCACTTCTACAACATCTCACATCATGTACTTATTTATTTTTAAATAATATAATATTCATTAAATTTAAAAAAAAAAAAAAAAAAAATATAGGAAATTGACATATATGTATGTATAAATATATAATAGGGAAATTTTTTACAAAATGGAAAAGGTTTCATGTTACACATTTTGTCCTTCAGGACTTCATCTGACTCAAGTGATGTTTATGTGACGACACACACCTGAAGGAGAAGGGATCCTAAAAATTTTAAGTTTTAATTTTTTTTTTTTCTTAAATATGGATGAAATGCATCACAAAGTTTTTTTCCACATTGTCATAGATTTTCATAAAACTGTTCTTGATATATCAAAATTTATATATTGCTTTACTATATATATATATATATATTATATATATATAAAATGAAATGAAACAAAAAACTGTTAGTAAAAATAATGTTTTGTTAAATACAACCAAGTATATAGAAAGTTAAATAGATACAAAATTTTTCAACCTAATTTCACATGAAAACAAATACATGAAAATTGTTCTATAATATATTGATAAAAAGAAAAGATTTTTGGAGATAGCTTCTACATTTACAAAATCTTATATTTCAACAATTTTAAGCTAAAAGAAACATACAAAATATCTTACCTTGTTTTGAATGGTCAAAAATTATAATTAATATTATAAATAAAACAGTTGCTCTTGTAAACATCCTGCCTGTTATAATCATTGTGACCGTTTTTTAACAAATTTTAACCTGCCAATTTGTGGTATCTGCAAGAATAAAGGAACTAAGAATCAGATTTGATAAAGGCAGCATTTTTAAAAAAAGTGACTAATAGATAGAAAGTAAAGTAACATGTTAAACAAAAAGGAGAAAAAGTGACTAATAGATAAAAAGTAAAGTAATATGTTAAATAAAAAGGAGAAAAAGACAAAAGGATGAACAAATGAAAGAGAGAAATAATAAAGAAAAGAACAAAAACAAATTAAGTCAATCTGATATTCATTTTCTGGAATATCATGAAAGGAAAAATATTTTAACAGCTGTAAACTTAAATTTTTTTCAACAATATTTAATATTTTTCACTGGTTTAAAGTTAAAAAGCCTTGATTTTGATCAGTAAATCAGGAACCAATTTTTGCTGTTTTTATTATCTAAATCAGAGTAGTTATAACTCCAATAAGAAAATATCTCTATTCTTGTCTATTGACTTAACAGTTAATGTATTTAGTGTGGCACAAAAGCATGAGTTTAGGTCAGTCAGTGAGAATTGAACTCACCTCATAATAGTAATGGTCTACTAGTTTTTAAATGTTGATGTTTAATATGCAAAGCATCATATATCAAGGGAACAAATTTACTAATTCTTTAATCAGACATATTTTTTCTATTGTAATGAATTAAGCAGCATAAGAGAGTAGAATCTAATAGTTTTTTGGTCATTCAATATTTAATCTGAACATTTGATTTGTTCTTTCTTTTTTTAAAGGATACTTATGTTAGGGAACTTTATACAAATAAAATAAACTTTGAAAAAACAGCTTTAAATTATTGAATAAAATTCGTTAATGATTTTGATCAAAACAAAATTTTTATTCTCATTGTGTTATACTAATGTATAACACATCTGGACTGAATGTGTGTATGCAGTGTAGTGGTTATCAGTACATAAAGTTGAATTGATATGCCAAGTTCAAATTCTAGCTGAGTTTGTTGCATTCACTTTCACAAAAATACCCTTTCGGAATTTTTGGGAACATTAGCACTTTGTACTAATCAATACTACCTCTGTCCCAGAATAATTGTTAAATTTGACTAATAAATATACTAAATGCAACAATGATGAGAGGGTGTTGAAATTCTCAGCTGGACCAATTAACAAAAATCTGAGAAAATGACCAAACAGAATTGTTACATTTAGTATATTTAGTAGTCAAATTATTCTGGGACAGAGGTAGTATTGTTGAGTACAAATTAATAATATTCATAAAGATTCATGTTTTTTTTTTTCAGCAGTATCACTAGTGTAGAGGAAATTAGTAATTTGCATTTGACTAACATTAGCCAGTACTGGAGTCAGTATATTCTAGGCTTTTTGATTGGTCAGTATAAAATAAAAAAAAAAAACTAAAAAAAACAAAAAAAATAACAAATTTTAAAAGAACTTCAAAAACATTTTTTTTTTATAGATATAGCTGTACCAAAGACATATACTCACTTGACCCCTATGTCTGATTCTTTCTTATTAAATTTTAGTTATATAAAAGCACATCTTGCAAGATAATGTGTCTTTGATTCCAAGAAATAGAGTACATATTAGAAAATATTTATAAAAAAATTTACTGATCATTTTCACTGTCACAAGAATTTTTCAAATAAACAAAGCCACTTTATATAATTTAAAAGTGATATATCAAACAATGCTCTGTGGATTGTGTATTCAAAAAGGTAATTTTCCAATGTCATCAGTCACTCACAAAGTGACAATCTCTAATTTATGTAACTAAATTGGCAAAGAATAAAATTTCCCAAAATTGATGTTCTCCACTTTTCCTCCTGAGAAAGTTTTGGTTTTCTACATTGTAAAAAACACTGTTCAATTTAACAAAAAAATACATTGATACCTGAAATTTGAAGATATTTAACACCTGAAAACCTCCTGTTGATAGATTAAACAAATAAAAAAAAAATAGTAATTGCTTTTATAAATCTTAGACCATTGACATTAAATTCTTTGAATTTGCTATTTTTTTTAATTAACATTTATACTGTAAAGCAGAATTGCCAAACTGAGCCACTTTTAAAAGGACAGTGCTATGAAATTTTGAATTTTACTACTTGTAAAATAAGCTGATTTAACTTGGTTTATTAATAAAAAAAAAAAAAAAGTCACTTCAAAATAGTGCTGGGCTTTGCTCCATGTAGGCCAATTTGCTAATACTATTCTAGAGTTGCAAAAGAACAATCATGTATCCTTTAAAAAATTAACAGATTCAGAAATTACTGTATGTTATTTATGATTGCTGCAGAATATACAAACTGTATAAACTGCAAAATATATCAATAATATTCATTTTACAGATCAATTATGATTCATTATTTTATTTAAATTAATTTTAAAATGTCATATTTAGGAGATTCCAAAATGAAATTTCTAATAAAATGAAATTGGTAATTGTTTTTACAATTACCTACAAAAAACATGATATTTGTGTGTATGTGTTTTGCAGATATGATAAAAATATAGTTTTAAAGTATGCTATATTTATGGGTAAAAGTGCTCAATATCAAGGATAGAGCATATGTAAATACAAAAGTAGACATTGAAGTAAACACTGAGTGGCCTGAAGATTCCATTCAAGCATTGAAACAGTCAACACTGGTATTGACTTCAGTGTCCACTTGTGTGTGTGTGTGTGTGTGTGTGTATATATATATAAAATGCATGTGTGTATGTATGTATGAAGGGGGGGTAATTATTACCTTTATACACACAAAGGCATCATATATTTTATATGTATGCAGGTATAGATAAATACAATCACAACTGATTTCAACATGTCCTGGATGTGATTTAAATGTATTCAATTTTATTTTTATTTTTAAACCCATCAATTTTGCTTTGATTTTAATGTGAACTGTTTCCTATTTTTGCTGAAATCAAACAAATCTTTGCAAGTGATACATTATTAGCTTCACCTAATAAAAGACGCCTTCTCACAAAATTAACAGTATATTAGGTTGACACGAAAGTTTCCAGTAATTTTTGACAAAATCATATTCATATAAATCTGCATCATTATTCATTCAATGTATTTTCCCTGATATTCTATGACTTTATGTTACATTTCAGATAAATTGTTCTTCATTATAAAATCTGTTTTTAGTCAGTATATTTTTTAAATGCTTTTCAATGCTTAACAAGTGATAATTTAAAAGATGTCTACTCATGATGATTTGTTCTAAGTGGAAAAAACTTTCTACTATATGTGAAACAAAAGTATTTATAATTGTTTTGTAATGCAGTGATGTTACTGGTCAGCTTCATTCCCCAAAAAAGGTATTTTTTATTTTTTTTTTCAACAAGCCATTAAATTGAGCCAATTATTCACTGTAGTATACAAAGTTGTTCAGGTTATGGCAATTCATAATAAAACAATTCTCATTGAATTCCACTGTACACACAACTTTTTTTTCTGTAGTTGGTTCAGTTTAAGTTGAGATGTTGAAAGTTATTTTACATTGCCAGTGACTAACTTGTTGAAAAATGACTGCCTCAAGCAAGAAGAAAAAAAAAAAAAAAAAAACTTTTCAAACCAGTGTTCTTTCCTGTTCACTCATGTGAAACCCAATTTCCTGGTTAAATTGTGTATTCCATCATAAAAGAATGATGCCATTTAATCTGATAGAGGTTGGCAGGTCTGAAGAACAGCTTTGTATAAAAATAGTGCACATAGAGCAACAAGTTTAAAGATGAAAGGCTCAATTAAGACGACTCATGTAGCATTTATTATCCCAGTTTCATGTTAATTTGCTACATCAGGTTTGTAACATAAGTGGAAACGTTATCCTGCAGCACAATAATGTGTTGACTTCCATGCAGAAAAATGTATTATGTTCTGTTTCATTGCATTTTATTCAAAGAAGCTGATTGAGGACTGTAACATTGTATAATAGCAGATTGTAGAAGTTCAAGGAATTTATAATATAGAATTCACCTTGAATTCCATCAAAAATAGAAAAAAAATTTTTCTCTAATAGATTCCTTTTAGGCTGAGCTGTTAAAAGCTGTCTTGGATTTAACCAGGACTTTCTACATTTCAAATTCTCATGATAAATCTATTTTAGATTCTAAGTGATTATCCTGTCCAATTTTTTTCTCTCTTGTCAAACAACAAAGACAAGCATTTAAACACTGACCAATGTTTCTTTTTATAAGTTCATTTTCATGAAGCTTGTAAATTATGGTCTATATTTGACAGGTTCACCTATGATTTTAAGTTCCCACATTATTCGTACTGTATCTTCCTTCAAAACATTCTCTTTTCAAGTTTTCAGCTCAAAATGTCCTATTTCAAAATTTGCAAACCACTTTCAACACATACTTGCAGCTATTGCATCATTACTAAAAGTTTCAGTCATTCATTGAAGTTTCTACTGCACTTTTCCTAGATAGAATATGAAAAGTAAAAAGTATTAAATGTGCATTTTATATTCAGCAATGATTTTCATGAAAAAGTAAGATCACTTTTCTATAGACAATTCTTAAAGAGAACATAAAAAAGTTTCAAAGACATTTCTAAGATTGCTTGTAAAAGATGATACTGGGGACTTTTGTATCAATCTAATAGTTACCTCCATAGAAATGCTTCAATGTAATGATTATTTCAATAGTAAGTAATTAGAAAAACATAATATTTATTCAGTAGATTTCAACAAAATAGAAACATCCTCTTTCAAGATTAAGCTTATAATTGTAAAAATTGCTTTAATGTAAGTTAAATAAGTAGCTATTTAGCAATTATTTTAGATATTTATCCAGTAGATACCAGTTAATTGAGTTAATAGGTAATCAAAGCATATGTTTATTTAAGCTAAATCTTGAAAAACAAATGAAGTATAACAATTTCTTTCATTTATTTGGTCTAAAAAGAGATTTAATTGGATATTGGTAAAAAAAAAAAAAGAAATGACTCAATTGGTCATTG